TAAATTATCTCTGATAGTTTGACTGCCAATATGCCAGATATTTCATTTTTTCACTCTTATCAAAAATTACCTTGTAATGCTTCTTCTGCATTGAGCAATATCTCAGAGCAACATTTAGTGTGAAAAATAACATGATGAAGCATTGAGGAACAGGAAACGAAAATCAGCCAATAGGACAGAGATGTTGAAGACAATGCAATTTCTGGTAATCTGAAGTCTATGGACAAAAGACAATGCTGATTTGTGCCTGTGATTTCCTTGGATGTGGGATTTGTGGTCAAAACACATCAATATCCATTTGTAATTTTCTAGCGTTCTGGGGTTTGTGGTCTGATAGTACGACGTCAGCTGCAGGCAACTACCATCTAGCCTCTAATGAGTACAGTGGACGCACCTGCTCAGGGTGTAGCTGTAATGAAAATGACCGTGTTGTCACTGGCTGCTCCGGGAGTGTGTAAGTCTGTTTTAAACAATGTCCAAAATATTAATCTACATGAAGTATTTGCAGGTGAAACACATATTTGTTGGTATATCTACTGACAACATGTACAACAGTTGAGAGAAAATTGATAGACGTAGGTTGACAGAAAAAAACTAATAAAAAATACAATGTTCAGCATGCTGTGTTATTGGCCCACTATTGCTAAATCATACAGATGATATTTTGACAACGAAAGTTTGTTATTGCTGTTTCTTGAGAAGTACTGAATGATTCTTTTTCAAATTTCATACGTAGATTCCTTTTGTCTCATAGTTGATATTTTTAGCCCACCATCTATTCAAATAGATGGTGGGTTATTCAAATCGCCCTGCATCCGTGGTCCGTCGTCCGTCCGTCCGTAAAAAATTCTTGTTACCGCTATTTCTGGAAAAGTACTGGATGGATCTTTCTCAAATTTCATATGCAGGTTCCCCTTGGTCAATAGTTGTGCATTGTACCTTTTTTGAACTGATTTGCATTCAAGATGGCCGACAGATGGCCATCTTGGATTTTAGAAGTAAAAGTTTGTTACCGCTATTTCTGGAAAAGTACTGGATGGATCTTTCTCAAATTTCATATGCAGTTTCCCCTTGGTCCCTAGTTGTGCATTGTACCTTTTTTGGACTGATTCGAATTCAAGATGGCCGACAGGCAGCCATCTTGGATGTCTACAGTAATACAGCACAAGCATATTGTCCATTATCCACCTGTAACTGACTGCTATCTAATAATACTTTGGGATCTTTTTCAAATGATATTTGCTAATAGGTGCTTAATAAAAATATCTTGTGCCATCATTGAGTACATTCAATGAAGACCAGTTCATGAACATTTACAACACCTGTAACAAACAAACAAAATAAACAAATCATCAAGAACTAAAAACAGATCCTCAAATGGTGGGCGCCAAGATCCCTCTGGGATCTCTTGTTTGATTTTGGGACTGCTTAGAAAACAAAATGGCTAACAGGTAGCCATCTGACAGGTATTAAGTTTTACTTTATCAAAATGGTCATGTGATGTCAATGAGGAATTGTGTATTTATGATGTCACTAGTGTTATTGTTAATGTATCATTTGTTTCCATGTCATTAATCCCAGCTCTAGTACCGTTCTATATGATGAGCTATTTGATCTATTTGTATTTTAGGTATTTAAAGAATTATGTATTTGACAACCTAACAACAGAGTCCTTTGCATCACTCACCTCTGTCACATCAATGTAAGTACTCAATACCATTTTTTGTCCTATTTGTACACATTCAATAAGTCTACCATTTGAAATTTGTGATCTGTTTGCAGATGATATGACATTTTTGTAACAAGAGAAATTGGAGTCTGTGATCTTTGGAAACTTTGATAACTAGAAATTGTTGTTAACAATTTGGCGTCCTTTTCACTTCTTTGGCGACAACTTGACCGGAAGTTGACATTTAACCTGATAACGATATATGAGAAAGGTTCCTTGTTTGTAAGTCTCTACAACATATCCAAAGATGAACTTTGAATCTTGAAACGTGAAGGAGATATAACTACATAATAACAAAGAAATACACTTTTTAAAGGTTCAAACATATTTAACCCCTGTGACCTTGAATGTCAGTCAAGGTTATTCATATTTGCAAGCCTTATAATGTAACATCTGATGATCAATATATCACCAATATTAGTTCTCTAGACCTTGTGAGACTTGACAAGAAGATTGTTGAACACTGGTATTTTGTATATTTGAACTTTGACCCCTATCGGAAACCATTCTGCTATTTTTTTCATCATTGTATATTTGAACTTTTTAGTTACCCCCTTGAAAGTGGGTCAAGAATATTATCAAACTTTGTTTCCAGTTACATATCCTTCTTGTATATGAAATATTAAGCCTCTAGGCCTTCCAGAACTTGAGAAGAAGTTTTTCAAAGATTGGTACAAATAGCTCTTTCCAAGTTTGAGGGAAGTTTTTAAGGAAGTTTTTCTTATGACAATCAATAGGAAGTCTCCACAGAAGGTTTATAATCAATTTTCATCATTGTATGCCTTCTAGAAATTGAGTTGCCAAACTTTCATTTAACCTCTAGATTTTTGAGAAGAAGTTAATTGACATCTGTGACCTTGAAAGTTGGTCAAGGTCATTTATATTAACAAACCTGATTTTTAAATAATTGAAAGTGGGTCATCTTACACATGAAATATCTCAAGGCTTTGCAGAACTTGAGAAGAAGTTTGTCAAAGTTAGTAACCCGAAATAGCACTTGCAAAACCCCTACCAGAAACCGGAAGTTGATTTTTTTGCAATATTGTCTGATGTCTATTGTTAAATTGATAACATAATGATGTAAACAAAAGATTAAGTTTCAATACTAATTGTTATACCATTTGACCCCTGTGACCTTGACAGTTGACCAAGGTTATCATATAACGACCCTTTATAGACTGTTGACTGGACATATTAAATATGAAATATCAAGTCCCCTGATAGAATTTGAGGAGAAGTTCGTCAAAGTTAGTAACCCGAAATTGCAGTTTTCAGTTTGACCACCATTTACCATTTATCTAAATTTTTTTCTGATGAAATATGTTTGCAGGGTTATGTTTATAAACTGCTTTAAGCTTAAGTCAATAGCTTGAGCCGTTATTGAGTTACAGCCATTTAGGTAAAATCGGATATGACGTCTTGGCGGCCATTTTGTTTTTCTGATGATTTTGTAAATGACACTAAATGGTAGAGAACATCTGGGGAAACCTTTCTGATATAAATTATTCCAAAAAAAACCCGTTGGTAAAGATCTAGATCGAGTTTTTCCAAATTGTCGGCATTTTTAAAAGATCAAAGGAAATTTTCAAAATGGCATACAACGGAAGTGGTAAACGTTACAGAAAAACTAAAATTACTAAATTCATCGGAAGGACATTCTGCATCGATGTGTTAAAGAAATTTTCAAGAAAAATCAAAATTGAAAAAAAAAAGTGTTGTTTTCAAATTTTCAAATATTGACCCCACAGCGAGCATATTAGGCATATTTTGTTTTATAATGGCATGAAGAAAAGTTAGATAAGGAAATTGTCTACAAATAACATAATTGGACGAACTCTGTACACTCAACGGTTTTCGAGTTACGGCCGTTTTAAAGTTTTTAACTTAAGACGTCATAGCGGCCATATTGGATTTTTGACCTACTTAAAAAATCTGCATCGTCACCTTCCAGTATGTACCTATAACATAGTCAATACATATTAGGTGTGGTCTTTACCGTTTAAAAGATTACGAACCCACAAAATTCGGAAGAAAAATAATAATAATAATAATAATAAGAAACATAACAAAAACAATAGGTCTTTTCACCAAATGGTGAAAAGACCTAATAAGTGGTTCATATCTACTATGAAGATAATAACAGTAAATAAAAAAATTGTAAGAACATTCTTTATAACTTCATATCATTAAGGGATTTGAGCATCAGGTATATATGATAGATATGGGTAGTCAGATGGCACACTGGTAAGGTGCTGATCTCTGTGACCAATGCCTCAAATGGGCACTAAAATGTATGGGGTCAATCCGCCTGATCAATGTGGGTTTTCCCCTTTGGATTCAGATCTAAATTGATTGAAATAGGCCCTCTGTATCTCTTGTTCCTTTTTGTAGGGAAGTAATTTTGATTTCTGTTTATTGTTTTTGTTGTAGCCTCGACTGGATATGATACTGATGTACAGCTCCCCAATCAAGATGAGATACTGTCCAAGCAGCTACCTCTTCTTACCATGATGGAGCCTGGGGTGAAGAGTACTAACACTTCTCTGCTCTCTCTACAACCTCATGAGGACAAAGTAGAAATCACAGAAAACCAGCAGTCATTGAACAGTAGCACTGCACCACCTGACAAGAACAAGGCTAATGAGGAAAGATCAGAATATATAGAATCAATGGGACAACAGGACAGTAAATACAAGGAGCGGTCACAAAGACCAGAGTCAGAAATCAGCCACAAAAAGAAGGGGAGCTCATCAAGTTCAGAACAAGCATCAAGAAGAAATGACAGTGGAAACAAGGAAAAGTCACAAAGACCAAGATCTGGATCAAGTGGAAAGGACCATAGAAACAGGGAGAAGTCGCAAAGACAAGAATCGGGATCAAACAGACATGACAGTGGAAACAAGGACAGGTCACAGAGATCAGAATCTGGGTCAAGTGGGAAGGACAGTGAAAACAAGGAGAGGTCACTGAGATCAGAATCGTGGTCAAGTAGGAAGGACAGTGGAAACAAGGAGAGGTCACCAAGACCCGAATCAAGATCAAGTAAAAAGGACAGTGAAAACAAGGATAGGTCACAGAGATCAGAATCAGAATCAAGTAAAAAGGACAGTGAAAACAAGGACAGGTCACCAAGACCTGAATCAAGATCAAGTAGAAAAGACAGTGAAAACAAGGACAGGTCACCAAGACCTGGATCAAGATCAAGTAGAAAAGACAGTGAAAACAAGGACAGGTCACCAAGACCTGAATCAAGATCAAGTAGAAAAGACAGTGAAAACAAGGACAGGTCACAGAAATCAGAATCAAGATCAAGTAAAAAGGACAGTGAAAACAAGGACAGGTCACCAAGACCTGAATCAAGATCAAGTAGAAAAGACAATGAAAACAAGGACAGATCACCAAGACCTGAATCAAGATCAAGTAGAAAAGACAGTGAAAACAAGGACAGGTCACCAAGACCTGAATCAAGATCAAGTAGAAAAGACAGTGAAAACAAGGACAGGTCACAGAAACCAGAATCAGGATTAGGTAAAAAGGACAGTGAAAACAAGAACAGGTCACAGAGATCAGAATCAGGGTCAAGTAGGAAGGACAGTGAAAATAAGGAAAGGTCACCAATACTGGAATCAGGGTCAAGTAAAAAACACAACAGAAAGGAGAGATTATCAAGTTTAGAATCAGGATTAAGTAGAATGGAAAACAGTGAAATAGAAAATAGGAACAAGGAAAGGCCTCCAGGACAAGAATCAAGTAAAGATTTCTCCGGTAGAATAGAGAATATGAACGAGAAAATGTTGCCTAGTAATGAATCAGGATCATTTAATACAAAATTTAGTGATCCAAATGTCGAGGTAAATTTGGATTCAGTATCTGGTAACATAAATTTAGATGAACATCACATCTTGGATATGAATTCCAGGAAACAGACAGATGAAATGACAGGAACCAAAGAAAATAGGCCACCAGCCATGCCAGAAATGATAAGCAACACTGTAAATGATTGTTCAGCTAGCAAGGCCTGCATACCATCATCAACAGCACATGATATCTTATCTGTACCTTCCCAGCCACATGCTGGTAAGATGATACGGCGCAAAGCAACAGGCCCCAAATCCATTCTGACACTGCCAGAGAATCGCAGAAAAAAGCCTCATAGAAAAGTGACATTTGATCTGCAACAGGAGACACCAAGGGAAGTACCATTCACTTCAAGACTTGCCAGAAGTATATTGTTACAGAAAGAGAGACTACCTCTAGATCATCAGCTGCGAGGGGGTGGGAAAGTGGCCCAGCCAAGTAGGTCTATAAACCAATCAGAAGGGAGGAATGCAACTGTCTCCTGTTTGAATCAGCCTGGATCATTTGTAAGAACACCTCAAACTATACCCAAAGCATGTACACCAACTTCCAGACCACAAAACCTTATGGAGAAAAAATGGGCATCAACACAAAGTCACGTAAGTTGATTAATTGTTGTTTCTCAAATTTGTTAAGATTAGGTAATGTGATTATGGTCAGGTTGCGTAATGTAATTATGGTCAGGTGAGGTCATGTGATGATGTCAGGATAGGTCACATGAAGGTCAGGTCAAGTCATGTGATGGTCATGTAAGGTCATGCGATGATGGTCAGGTCAGGTCAAGTCATGCGATGATGGTCAGGTCAAGTAATGTGATGATGGTCAGGTAAGGTAATGTGATGAAAGTCAAATGAGGTTGTGGAATTAAATTATATCAGTTTATGGTTAAACTTTTATTAGCAAAAATGTTGTGTGGTATTAAATCAATGTTGGGTGATATAGCTTGTATTACACAGGTCAAGGTAATCAGGTCAAAGGTCAAGGTCAGGTATGAATAATTTACCAGGAAATGTGTTCTTGTGACATCAGGAAGCAAAAGTGAACAGAATCAAATGAGAAGTTACCTGACTTCAGTTAAGGGTCATCAAGTCAAAAGACAAGATAAAAGTCATAAGGTCATATTTAAATATTTTACTGGTAAGTTATTTTTTCTATTGTTATGAAGCAAAGTTGACGAGAATCAATTGAGGAAATACCAAATCAAGCAAGTCAGCAAGTTTGAGTAAAGGTCACAGCTTCAATCTCTTTACCGATCAATATTTTCTTGTAACTTTGTGAAGCGTAATGATCAATGAGAAGTCACTTGACCTAAAGTCAAGATCACAGGGACAAGTGTCAAGATAAAGTAGTAATTATTTTTGTTGGCTATGACATTCTGAATCAGAATTATCTAAACAAAACAAGTAACAACGTTATCACTCAGATGTCAGTGTCAACATCTGGTTCTTTTACTGGTAAGTTATTGTGTCTAGGTATAAAAAGAACCAAACATAATTTGATGTAAATAAGCAATCACTGTACAGTAGGAGAATATGATTGATAAGAATCACAAAGTAGAGCCCATCTCATCTCCCGATTACTTATTGCTTAGTTTACACAGTTTTGATATAAATAAACCTATATACAGGTGACTATGAAGACCTATAGAACATTCCAAATAGTTTTTGTTATTAGGAACATAAAAGCAGTAATTCTGTATCAGTGTAATCTTCTAGTTTCACACTGATTTAGAGTCAGACACATTGCAGAGTCCTTTCTGACATGTCAGTACTCCATTTCTCTATTTTCTATTTTGACTTGAGCTCCTCTTTCAAACAGATGAACAAGCCCTTTACAGATATAACAGGGGCAAAAAACACACCTGAGGAGCGACAGTACAGTCTGGATAATCTTCTTGTAAAACTTCTCCAGTGGAACCCAGTCTGGCTCCAAGAACAAGGTATTAAAGAGTACAGTATACATGAATTCATAATAGACCTTGGATATGTGGCGGTAATAAATTCACATAGAGCCATTCCATACTTCTCTTCTTACAAAATGTAAATACGTCAGTTGTCCTATCATGTATAACACATTTAATATCCTGTCATGTACCATACATCATATATATAGTCACTTCTAATACATCAAGTGTCCTGTCAATTCTAATACATCAAGTGTCCTGTCACATAAATGCATCTAGTGTCCTGTCACTTCTAATGCATCAAGTGTACTGTCACATAAATATATCTAGTGTCCTGTCACTTCTAATACGTCAAGTGTATTGTCACATAGATATATCTAGTGTCCTGTCACTTCTAATACATCAAGTGTCCTGTCACTTCTAATACATCAAGTGTATTGTCACATAAATACATCTAGTGTCCTGTCAATTCTAATACATCAAGTGTATTGTCACATAAAAATATCTAGTGTGCTGTCACTTCTAACACATCCAGTGTACTGTCACATAAATACATCTAGTGTGCTGTCACTTCTAATACATCCAGTGTACTGTTACATAAATACATCTAGTGTACTATCACAAATATATCTAGTGTCCTATCATGTAGAATACATCATATGTACTGTCAATGTATTGTGTTTTTTGTCCTGCCTGTTGATATTGTCCACCACACTCATTGTCATTTTAACACCTGTGTTTCTTTTAATGGAGGTTTACTTGCTTGTTTGCTTTGGCCAAATTTAGTTGAAAATGTTTTACTAATTCATCAGAATACATTGAATGAAAGCTTTGATGTTGTACATACAACACTCCATGACAGAAACTTTTTAATGCATTACCAAGCTAGATAATGTAATGATTGTAGAATTACTTTGCAGAGAAATACTCATACCCACCTCCAGCCATAGAAGCAGAGAACCCACTGATTCCCCTTGGTGAATCCTACAGCAGTTTTGATGACTACATCCAACTCTTCACTCCACACATAATTATGGAGACTTGGGAAACTGTAAGTTTCTGTCCCACCATCATCAGATTGTGGGCTGTTCAGATCACCCTATGCCATTCTTTCTCAAATTTCATACAAAGATTCCCATTGGTTCATACTTTGTGTCTAGTTGTGCCCTTTTGATTTTGGGACTGAATAGAACAACAAAACGGCTGCTTGATGTCCATCTTTGATTTTGACTATGAAAGTTTGTTATCAAAAATTTCTTTGCGAAGTACTGAATGGATCTTTCTCAGATTCCATTTGTAGATTACCCTTATTTCCTTGTTATGCATGGTTTTTGGACTGATAAGAAAAAATAAATGGCTGATATGCGCCCATCATGGATTTTGACAACGAAAGTGTGCTATGGTTGGAGAATTACTAGATGAACTGGTACCTTTCTCACATTTTGTATGTAGGTTACCTTATCTCCCTAGTTGTGCTCATTTTATTTTGGGATTGATCAGATGAACAAAATGGTTGTCAAGCAATTATCTTGGATTGTAAATATAAAGATAATCATCACGTTTCCTAAGGGGAACTTTTGAATTTTACATAATAAAGAGCATAGGCAAAAGAAACAAGGAAAAAGATCCTCACACTTAAAGATCAAGCAAGGATATGCACTAAGATTCCTCTGGGATTTGTTGTTGATACATAAACATGTCATAATATGCCTCCCCCTGAAGTTCAAGCTTTGATTCAAGGACCATAAATACAGTATTATCATATAGATTCTTTTTCCTAATTTCATACTTGTTTTACACAAAGTGTGAAAGACGTTAACAAGTTTACACTTATCACACTTGTTGGCCCAGATCCTATTAGGTCTAACTATACTGTGGTAGGAACCCAAGTACCTGGGAAATACACATGTGGTTGGGCAGGTAAGCCACCTATCTTTTCACATCTTCAGGAATTGAACCTTGGACATCTATGTGAAAGCCAGGTGCATTATCACTGCACCACCCAACAAACCAATAAAATTTCAACTTGTTTACTGTACCAGATTTGATGAGTATTCATACTATTTTGTAGGCAGTTTCTGGCTTCAAGCAGAGAAAGGAGTCCGGTGTAACCAGGCATACAGTTCACTTTTCTGCTGCAGAGACCTCTGTAAATAAGAAATTTATCCACCACACCTGGAATGGTAAATACAATCACTATATCCTCTAACATTGGTCATTAATGCTACTGGTGGTCAGTAGTAGCACTATATATCTTAGCACAAGTTACTGGTCACCTTGTTAATTAGCTCTTCTTTCCATCATAAGAGAGTAATGTTGTTCAACTCACAAGGCATCAGTTAATCCTTACAAATATATTCTGCTTCAATTAGCAGCATTTCACTGCAGGTCATATTATCATGACACAACTGGTATCACAAACAAAACACACCTGGGTACAGAACAGGAATATTCATTGTGAAATTAGCTCATTTTTATTGTGGTAGAAACTGGTCTCACAAACCTGTTGATGTATTTGAGTTCATGTTCATTGTAACTATTGAAAAATAAATCAAGCTCATATTACAGGATACAGGGTTACCAATGTGTTCTTGATAAGGACCTTACCAGTGTCAATAGATGGTTACAGGGTTACCAATGTGTTATTGACAAGGAACTTATCAGTGTCACTAGCTGGTTACAAGGTTACCAATGTGTTATTGACAAGGAACTTATCAGTGTCACTAGCTGGTTACAGGGTTACCAATGTGTTATTGACAAGGACCTTATCATTGTCACTAGCTGGTTACAGGGTTTCCAATGTGGTATTGACAAGGAACTTACTAGCTGGTTACAGGGTTACAGGTGACTCATGCTGCTGACAGGTGTAAAGTCAGTGATACAGTATGTTTCTGATGTGACTGGTGTTGTTGACAGGTGTAAAGTCAGTGATACGGTATGTTTCTGATGTGACTGGTGTTGTTGACAGGTGTAAAGTCAGTGATACAGTATGTTTCTGATGTGACTGGTGCTGCTGACAGGTGTAAAGTCAGTGATACGGTATGTTTCTGATGTGACTGGTGTTGTTGACAGGTGTAAAGTCAGTGATACGGTATGTTTCTGATGTGACTGGTGTTGTTGACAGGTGTAAAGTCAGTGATACGGTATGTTTCTGATGTGACTGGTGTTGTTGACAGGTGTAAAGTCAGTGATACGGTATGTTTCTGATGTGACTGGTGTTGTTGACAGGTGTAAAGTCAGTGATACAGTATGTTTCTGATGTGACTGGTGTTGTTGACAGGTGTAAAGTCAGTGATACGGTATGTTTCTGATGTGACTGGTGTTGTTGACAGGTGTAAAGTCAGTGATACGGTATGTTTCTGAGGTGAATGGTGTTGTTGACAGGTGTAAAGTCAGTGATACGGTATGTTTCTGAGGTGACTCATGCTGCTAACAGGTGTGAATTCAGTGATACGGTATGTTTCTGAGACGACTGGTGTTGTTGACAGGTGTAAAGTCAGTGATACGGTATGTTTCTGATGTGACTGGTGTTGTTGACAGGTGTAAAGTCAGTGATACGGTATGTTTCTGAGGTGAATGGTGTTGTTGACAGGTGTAAAGTCAGTGATACGGTATGTTTCTGAGGTGACTGGTGTTGTTGACAGGTGTAAAGTCAGTGATACGGTATGTTTCTGAGGTGACTGGTGTTGTTGACAGGTGTAAAGTCAGTGATACGGTATGTTTCTGATGTGACTGGTGTTGTTGACAGGTGTAAAGTCAGTGATACGGTATGTTTCTGAGGTGAATGGTGTTGTTGACAGGTGTAAAGTCATTGATACGGTATGTTTCTGAGACGACTGGTGTTGTTGACAGGTGTAAAGTCAGTGATACAGTATGTTTCTGATGTGACTGGTGTTGTTGACAGGTGTAAAGTCAGTGATACGGTATGTTTCTGAGGTGAATGGTGTTGTTGACAGGTGTAAAGTCAGTGATACGGTATGTTTCTGATGTGACTGGTGTTGTTGACAGGTGTAAAGTCATTGATACAGTATGTTTGTGAGACGACTGGTGTTGTTGACAGGTGTAAAGTCATTGATACAGTATGTTTCTGAGATGACTGGTGTTGTTGACAGGTGTAAAGTCAGTGATACAGTATGTTTCTGAGATGACTGGTGTTGTTGACATGTGTAAAGTCAGTGATACGGTATGTTTCTGATGTGACTGGTGTTGTTGACAGGTGTAAAGTCAGTGATACGGTATGTTTCTGAGGTGAATGGGGTTGTTGACAGGTGTGAAGTCAGTGATACGGTATGTTTCTGAGGTGACTGGTGTTGTTGACAGGTGTAAAGTCAGTGATACGGTATGTTTCTGATGTGACTGGTGTTGTTGACAGGTTTAAAGTCAGTGATACGGTATGTTTCTGAGGTGAATGGTGTTGTTAACAGGTGTAAAGTCATTGATACGGTATGTTTCTGAGACAACTGGTGTTGTTGACAGGTGTAAAGTCAGTGATACAGTATGTTTCTGATGTGACTGGTGTTGTTGACAGGTGTAAAGTCAGTGATACGGTATGTTTCTGAGGTGAATGGTGTTGTTGACAGGTGTAAAGTCAGTGATACGGTATGTTTCTGAGGTGACTGGTGTTGTTGACAGGTGTAAAGTCATTGATACAGTATGTTTGTGAGACGATTGGTGTTGTTGACAGGTGTAAAGTCATTGATACAGTATGTTTCTGAGATGACTGGTGTTGTTGACAGGTGTAAAGTCAGTGATACAGTATGTTTCTGAGATGACTGGTGTTGTTGACAAGTGTAAGTCTTGAGTCAGTGATACGGTATGTTTCTGAGGTGACTCATGCTGCTAACAGGTGTGAAGTCAGTGATACGGTATGTTTCTGAGACGACTGGTGTTGTTGACAGGTGTAAAGTCAGTGATACAGTATGTTTCTGAGATGACTGGTGTTGTTGACAGGTTTAAAGTCAGTGATACGGTATGTTTCTGAGATGACTGGTGTTGTTGACAGGTTTAAATCTTGAGTCAGTGATACAGTATGTTTCTGAGGTGACTGGTGTTGTTGACAGGTGTGAAGTCAGTGATACGGTATGTTTCTGAGGTGACTGGTGTTGTTGACAGGTGTAAAGTCAGTGATACGGTATGTTTCTGAGGTGACTGGTGTTGTTGACAGGTGTAACGTCAGTGATATGGTTTGTTTCTGAGACGACTGGTGTTGTTGACAGGTGTAAAGTCATTGATACAGTATGTTTCTGAGACGACTGGTGTTGTTGACAGGTGTAAAGTCATTGATACAGTATGTTTCTGAGACGACTGGTGTTGTTGACAGGTGTAAAGTCAGTGATACAGTATGTTTCTGAGACGACTGGTGTTGTTGAGAGGTGTAAAGTCAGTGATACAGTATGTTTCTGAGACGACTGGTGTTGTTGACAGGTGTAAAGTCAGTGATACAGTATGTTTCTGAGACGACTGGTGTTGTTGACAGGTGTAAAGTCAGTGATACAGCATGTTTCTGAGATGACTGGTGTTGTTGACAAGTGTAAGTCTTGAGTCAGTGATACGGTATGTTTCTGAGGTGACTGGTGTTGTTAACAGGTGTAAAGTCAGTTATATGGTATGTTTCTGAGGTGACTGGTGTTGTTGACAGGTGTGAAGTCATTGATATGGTATGTTTCTGAGACGACTGGTGTTGTTGACAGGTGTGAAGTCAGTGATACGGTATGTTTCTGAGATGACTGGTGTTGTTGACAAGTGTAAAACTTGAGTCAGTGATACAGTATGTTTCTGAGATGACTGGTGTTGTTGACAGGTGTAAAGTCAGTGATACGGTATGTTTCTGAGACGACTGGTGTTGTTGACAGGTGTAAAGTCAGTGATATGGTATGTTTCTGAGATGACTGGTGTTGTTGACAAGTGTAAGTCTTGAGTCAGTGATATGGTATGTTTCTGAGGTGACTGGTGTCGTTGACAGGTGTAAAGTCAGTGATACGGTATGTTTCTGAGATGACTGGTGTTGTTGACAGGTGTAAAACTTGAGTCAGTGATACGGTATGTTTGTGAGACGACTGGTGTTGTTGACAGGTGTAAAGTCAGTGATACGGTATGTTTCGGAGGTGACTGGTGTTGTTGACAGGTGTAAAGTCAGTGATACGGTATGTTTCTGAGGTGACTGGTGTTGTTGACAGGTGTAAAGTCATTGATACGGTATGTTTCTGAGATGACTGGTGTTGTTGACAGGTGTAAAACTTGAGTCAGTGATACGGTATGTTTGTGAGACGACTGGTGTTGTTGACAGGTGTAAAGTCAGTGATACGGTATGTTTCTGAGACGACTGGTGTTGTTGACAGGTGTAAAGTCAGTGATACGGTATGTTTCTGAGACGACTGGTGTTGTTGACAGGTGTAAAGTCAGTGATACGGTATGTTTCTGAGACGACTGGTATTGTAGACAGGTGTAAAGTCAGTGATACGGTATATTTCTGAGACGACTGGTGTTGTTGACAGGTGTGAAGTCAGTGATACGGTATGTTTCTGAGATGACTGGTGTTGTTGACAAGTGTAAGTCTTGAGTCAGTGATATGGTATGTTTCTGAGATGACTGGTGTTGTTGACAAGTGTAAGTCTTGAGTCAGTGATACGGTATGTTTCTGAGGTGACTGGTGTTGTTGACAGGTGTAAAGTCAGTGATACGGTGTTTCTGAGGTGACTGGTGTTGTTGACAGGTGTAAAGTCATTGATACGGTATGTTTCTGAGATGACTGGTGTTGTTGACAGGTGTAAAACTTGAGTCAGTGATACGGTATGTTTGTGAGACGACTGGTGTTGTTGACAGGTGTAAAGTCAGTGATACGGTATGTTTCGGAGGTGACTGGTGTTGTTGACAGGTGTAAAGTCAGTGATACGGTATGTTTCGGAGGTGACTGGTGTTGTTGACAGGTGTAAAGTCATTGATACGGTATGTTTCTGAGATGACTGGTGTTGTTGACAGGTGTAAAACTTGAGTCAGTGATACGGTATGTTTGTGAGACGACTGGTGTTGTTGACAGGTGTAAAGTCAGTGATACGGTATGTTTGTGAGACGACTGGTGTTGTTGACAGGTGTAAAGTCAGTGATACGGTATGTTTCTGAGACGACTGGTGTTGTTGACAGGTGTGGTAACAGGAGAGAAGTTCACTTCTAATCAGTATCTCTGTGATGAGGACCTTGTTATCATAAAGTATGTGACAGAGGAGCCTGATCCATCTCAACCTAGTGGACCACCGCGATATACACAGCGTTCCAGCTTTGGGTTCCTTGAGAAGGTAACACCCTACAAAGCCCAGGACATCCCTAGACTTTACAATGAACTGCCACTACTTAGTGAGTATATAGAGGATATTAAATGGTTTCCTTTTTGAGATATATTTCATAAGTCTGACAGAATATCTTGTTTTTTCTTTCGTGTGAAAAAATATAGACATTTTCTGTCAAGTATACATGAAATTAGATGAATGAAAAAATGGCGAATTCAAAGATAAAATGTTTTTTAAAGTTCGGGAAATATTAATGCACTCTTCATAGTTTGACGTTACGTATATGCTTGACAAGAAGACAACACAATTTTGAAATAGGTTATTTAAGTTGTAAGAATAACTTAAAAAACTGTTTTTATATACTAGATTAGAGAAGAACAGAAATAGTCATGGGAATTATTAGATGGAATAACAATTTATTCAATCTTTGCTTCATTTTGGTCAGAATAGAAAAATCAAAGAATTTCACTGCAGTGATTAGAAAGCACTACTTAAGTTTGACAAAACTACAAAGTTATATCAGCACTGGAAAAGTTATATCATCACTAATATGGGAATTAATAGCTGAAAATATTGTAATGATAAATGTATGCTGATTGGGGCATGGAGTTTAATACATACCACAGTTACCTAAATCTTGGAAAAACCACTTTGAGGCAGTCTGGTATTGTACATTTAAATAAAAGCTGTTAGTGTTTGTAGCAAAGATGTTGTAAATAACCGTGGTCTTTTCATTTATTTGTATCTTAAGAGGAAAAAATTAGCATGTAAATGTTCAAAAGTAGCCATTGTTCTTATTTGATAAAACAAAAAGTTATTTTGTTATGTGATTGTTTATGACAGAAGTTTTTATGATAACCTCTGATGTTTCACATATAAAAATAATATATTGTTCTGTATTTGACATTGACAGGAAGAGATGCACAAGCTTTGGGCAATCAGAATGTAGTTACTCTTAAACTGAAACTGAAGATAAGGAATGGTCGTAATTTACGACTAGCACAGCAACCAGCCACTCTCCAGGTAAATTGGAATGACCTAATGTCTAGGTATATTTATTACCCACCTGAACTAAATGAGTGCCTCTCTCTTTGTCCTTCTTGTTTTTTAACATGACAAATTGTTTGCACTAGGAAATTACTGATTAATCTTGACAAAAATTACATTTTAATATTTACCATGTCACTTGATAAAACATAACACTGATTAAAAACATTACACTAATAAAAACATTATACTTGATAAAAACATAACCCTGAATAAAAACATTGCATTTGATATAACCATTACACTTTAAAAAACATATGAATAAAGATGTTACATATGATCAATGGTATAAATAGGTAGAAATATCAGTTTAGTCAACTGATATTAATGAAATAGATCCTATGTTGATCACTGGATGAGAAATAGAAGAAAAAATCTAATATTGATAATCATTTGGCAGATATTCAGTTGCTTTGTTGATGACTAACATTGTGGGCTATGGAATATATTTCGATTACAATTTAAGATAATACTAATTTTTCTCTGAGTATATTAGTTTTATGGTGTTTCCTTTGGTGACCTCCTGTTTAGGGAATCCTGCATTTAACATTAACCTGAGTTTATCTTTATTACTAACAGGCGATATATGCTTCATTGTAGAAGGTAGTATCTCTGATATCCATCGTAAGACAGTATAATGCCCTGGTGGTGCTGCGCAGAAACATACTTTGGAAACACATACTAGAACCAGGCAGGACTGATGTATTCGCCGAGGAACAGCCAGTGACAGAAGCGTTACGTTCACAGCTGGTAAGAACATGACATTCAGCATACATTTTGAAGATATCAAACATTTGGCATGCATTGTTGAGATATATGACATTGGCACACACTGGTTAGGTATATGACATTCAGCATATAATAGCAAGCTATACAACATTACTTGTAAGGTATATGATATTGGGCACATAGTGGTAACATAAATATTAATCGCCAACCACAGGTAAGATACATGAAATTTGCAGGGCACTGGTAGGATATGATATTTTTCACTCCCTGGTAAGATATATGATGTTTGCTGTGCACTGGATGATATTTGGCACTCCCTGGTAAGATATATGATGTTTGCTGTTCACTGGATGATATTTGGCACTCCCTGGTAAGATATATGAAATTTGCTGTGCACTGGATGATATTTGGCACTCCCTGGTAAGATATATGATGTTTGCTGTTCACTGGATGATATTTGGCACTCCCTGGTAAGATATATGATGTTTGCTGTTCACTGGATGATATTTGGCACTCCCTGGTAAGATATATGATGTTTGCTGTTCACTGGATGATATTTGGCACTCCCTGGTAAGATATATGATGTTTGCTGTTCACTGGATGATATTTGGCACTCCCTGGTAAGATATATGATGTTTGCTGTTCACTGGATGATATTTGGCACTCCCTGGTAAGATATATGATGTTTGCTGTTCACTGGATGATATTTTGCACTCCCTGGTAAGATATATGATGTTTGCTGTGCACAGGTTGGTTAACACTGTTGTGACATTCACCAAAAACAGGTAAGATATGATAAGGTATTCTGAAACTCCTCACGTAATGTTAGTCTTGGATAAAATAACCTGAAAATTAGAAGGATTGACTTGATACAGTGCATTACTCAGAAGTTTTGATTAGAAGTTTTGATTTCCAGAGAAACTACAATCCATCCCAGCAGAAAGCTATATGTACAGCAGCCAAGGTAGCTGTACAGCCTTTCAACTTACCACGGATCTGTTTACTGCAGGGACCCCCTGGGACTGGCAAATCCCACACCATTGTAGGCATCATCGACAAAATCATTAGGGTGAGTTCTTAGTCACACCTACAACTTGATGTGTTATACATGTACAGTAAAACATGAATGAGTCGAAGTTGACGTGACCAAATGAAATATTAGACTTATCTGATGTTTCGACATAGCTTTTTCGATGAACGGCGACATGGTGCATCGAGAATTGATATCTGTCTCATAGCATGGTGTTATAGAAATGAATAAATTATAAATAAACAATATAATTTTTTAATTCTAAACACTGACAATATCTTTTATTTCAATAAACAGATATAAGTAGAAATATAAAACAAAAAATGTAAAGTGAAATGTGAGGATACACACCCACTCTCGTACACATAACTTAGTGAAATTGATAAAGTAATGCATATATTGTAGTCATATCTATATCCTTAAAAGTCAAAAGTCCCATCATCAATGTTTTAAAATGAATAAGTAATATTGTTAGCATTGAGGTGGGTTATGGAAAGGTGAAGGCTGTGGCAACATCACTGAAGCATAAGATATGGCACCTTAAGAGCGTAACTATAAAATATGATAAAATAAAACTTTTTATGTGTACATGTATATCCAGTTAATGTATTTAAAATCATAAATAAATGTGTTAATGACCAGTATTTTTATTACTCTGCATTGGCCTCGTAATTATCACTTGTTTTTTCCCTTTTGGTTTCCAGCAGCAATGTGCATAAAAAGTAAACAAAACACAGTAGATTTATGGTAAACTGACTATAGTGTATTTTGTTAAAAGTTTGGTTGCTTAATTCTGTGTAGATTATAACTTTTACCAGTGCACCTGTGTAAACCCAAGGATTAATGTTCCTTCGAAAGTACAATAGGGCTTGTTACCACAGATTTGGCTGACTGATCACACTTGTCATTGAAACTGAAGCCATGAAATTTTTACTAAGACATGACCATGCCTGAATGTTTGACATGAAAAAAGGAAATTTTGGTAGAATTTAAAAGGGATGGACGACAACATATATTTGACACAAACACAGTATTTGACTCAACAGTGTTTGAATCATTCATATTTAATTTACCAAGATAAAGATGAAAAAAACGAGACTGAACAAAACATTTGACTTATCCGATGAATTGGATTCAAGCGTGTTCGACACAAGTGAGTCTTACTGTATATTTCACTTCCACGTTTACACGTTGTCATTTACACTACTGTATCTATCCTACAATAAGTTCAGGGACCAAGTCATTACTTCTGACTCAAAGTCTAACTTACAGGACAATAATCTACAGGCTCTAGTACTTCCAACTCAAAATAAAGTTTTGGTCCAGATCATTATCATATCGTTTGTAATTATTGTGAATTTCATCCCGAAGGACACAAAGGGTCAGGGCCGCATTTGTTTGTGTACACCATCCAATGCTGCTGTGGATGAAGTCATACGCCGGTTGATATATCACAAGAGAAATACGACAAGAGGTAAATTACTTGTTGCTCACACATGAGACACAGAAATCTTGTACACTACGCAGTGCTTTATTTTTATCTGTCTGGTATCTTTGGCAACTTTTGATACATATTGAAGACACAATCAAAGGGATGTAATTTACAATAGTCAAATTGGATTTGGAATTTAAAATAACTGACAGATTTTTTTTATGCAATTTCAACACCATTATGTATGCGGAATAAAAATCTATTACCTTTAGAACCTGTAGTTTGATTTTTCTCATCTCAGCCTGAAATTTGCTTTCAAAGAGAGATTTTATTACAGAATGTCAGCCAAATGTTAAATAATGGCTCGCAAAAAAAAAAATCTAATCACAAGTAGATTTTAATGTCAGTCTTTTGATGTTAATTGAATTTGACACATAAAGAGCATACATTTCTGTTTTTTTACACCCTTTTACATGTATCTGATATGACTCTTTTACAGCCCCAAATCACCTGCCCTATGGTCTACATATGGTGAGGATTGGGAAAATGTCCTCTATACACAAAGATGTAGCTAAATACACATTCACCGAACTTGTCCACCGCCACAGGCAAAATGGTACAGTATTAGATTAATGTAAAACCCCCGTAATGTGCACGATCTTTCTTGAGAAATTTCAAATTAGAGGGTGCGCTCATTTCATAGTTATGGGGTTTTTAAGATTTTTTTCATGAAAAGATTGTGTAAGGACGCCATCATCAATTGACGTGATTATCTGGTATGCAAAATGACACAAGGAGAATTTTTAAGATTTATGTATCTGAGTCCATATCATCTAAACTCGAAGATTACCATTCTTGATATATTGGTATAGTGAATGTGGATTGAGGTTTATTATTAATTATTAATTAGTTTTTTTCTCTTAAATGTCATTTGATGATATATTTCAAAACCTTCATTAGAAAAAATTACCAAAATATATGCTATTGTTGAAAAGTAGGTCACAGTAATTAAGTGCCCTATTTACTAATTAAGTCAATAATTATGAATTTGATCCCCCACTTGTCCCCCCTATAACAACTGAACAGCCTTGAGCTGACCTCAGATTAATGTCATGTCATTACCGCCTGACCTCAAGTTTTTAATAGACAAAAAATAAAAAGTATTCGTCATGGCCACCAGAAGGCCCAAACTGGCACTCCTCCTTTGTCTTATTGGTGTTTAAGAAGAAATTGTCAAAAAAAAAACAACAAGAAGTGCACAATAATTAGGCAGATTTTTATTCTTCTTCATTTGTATTGTACCATTTATTTAAGAGAACAAAGTTATTAAAAGTCAATAAATGAGATAAAAACCAATTTTAAAGAGAATACTTACAAGTTTCGAACTTTATATTGTTGGTCTGACATGTCAGCTGAATATTCAGAGTTAGATTTCTTGGTTCCAGAAAATTGTTTTTGACAGACTTTTTGGATGTGAAAATTATACAAGTAGAGAAATACTTTCAGCATTTCTAACCAAAAAAATTTCTCGCACAAATTACAAAGATGGTGCACATTGTGTGTATTTTACTGTATGAAATCCAGGCTGACATTTGTCAGTTACACTTGGACCTAGAACACTTTTGTTGATATCCTGGCTTATTGGATTGAGTTGGTCTTGATAAATTTAATGAAGTCTAAAGCTCTTCTTATTAAATTCATCTTGATACTTTGATCCTGGAAGAATACAACAAGAAATCAAATGTTATATTGGAAAAAGATATTATCCCCCATAGTACTTTGGTTTTGAGAGTCGTATCAAAAAAATAGGGAAAAGATTGTAATATTGCTCTCCACAGTAGTGTTTTTGCCATTATTGATGAAATATCGAGGTATGTGTCACAAGCCATTTGTGCTTCATGTTTACTATAGATATATAAGTAAGAACGATGTGATCTGATATGTGTTTAAATTGTCTCATTTATGATCAAGTATCTATGATACATTCAGTATTGTGTTTACATTAAAACACAAGCATGACGTTTACCAAGACTTCATAACTATTCTTGACCTGATATTAAAAACTGGAATGAGTTTGGAACTAGTTAGAGCAGCTCAGAAATGTAACACAGCACCACATTTAAGATATCAGTTCTGTGTTTCTTTATTATTGTCAATATACATTTACAATGTTTTCTCTTTATAATACAGAGATTAGTCGGAAGGGGGAGAAAAATTTTCCTCAGAGCTCTCGCCGTGAGCTTGCAAGCCTCTCTGAAAAGATTTCAGCCTTGTCTTCTCAACTAGAAAACATGGAGCCTGGAGACAACAGTTGTGTGCATGTGAGTATACAGGACATGAAGGGTGTTAAAGAAAAAAGATGGGACAGGGAAGGGCAACAGAAGTTAAGGGGGATGGGAATGACATGAAGTTGGAAGAATAATGGTGAAAAGAGAGTGGTTGATGATATTCATATGAAAGGGGTAAAAAGGAAAGGCATTTTATATCAGAAAGATACATTTTCAATGATACTCTGATCAAAAGGGGAAAGTGAATATTATGCCATCTAGGAAGAACGGTGTATTTATAATATTGTATTCAATAATGAAAATGCTGGCCATCTAGAAACCAGTCTGGATATTGATAAGTGAAGATTTAACCATATTCTGGATACTTTTTACACTTCAAGTGCTAATATCAAGACCGAGAGGGAGGGTGAAATTATTTAATTGATATTGCTATTTCGTAGACCATAGAGGTACATGGACATTTTTCTTTTCAGTGTGGCTTTTGAGGTTATCTAATATTGTTAGACATTATTGATTGACACTGTTGTGTCAGTCAAACAAATAACAGAAAGTGGAACAGACTGGGTCAAAGTGTAAGACAACTACATGTATGTAATTGAAGATTAACAGTGGTGGGCATCAAGATGACATAGGGATTTTTATATGTAGCAGACTGTTTATTTACAGTTTGAACTTTTCTTACATTTAACAGAAAAAGAGGCTGCAGGCAGATCTACAGAAAATGGAACAAAAGAAAACTGACCTACATTACCAACTTAGAAATGTAAGTGTCACCGATCTCATTACTTAATATGCGGATGTCATCAGACTTATTTCCTGGCGGTATACAGTATGCTTTGTCTCCGTTTTCAAGAGAATTGACAAACATTGGCACACATAATGTCTGACTTGTTTTGAGAAATGGTTCAACTAGGTGAAAATAACTGGTCATTTAAGCACTTTCTGATGGAAGGGAAAACACATATTATAATTGTATGATTTATGACAGATTCTTTTGTGAAGCAAAGAGCATAAACTAAATTTTTGCAGTGTTTTCTTTGATGTTTACAGATGAATAGGAGTATTTCTTTGACTCCGGCTGAGGAATATGAGATAAAAAAAAATGTGCTGTGGCGTGCTCATGTCATATGTGGTACGCTGAACAGCTTTGGTAGTAGCAACATACAGAACCTGTTACGCACTCGTCACCCTAGCAACCAGTCTTCCTTCTTCTTCAACTGTATTGTTATGGATGAGGTAAGTATCACTTACTATTGGCAGATAGCGGTAAATATCACATAGCATCTTAGAAATAGTAATGATTTTCTGAATCAGAATGATTAGAACATATTAGAAATAGCACTGTTATATTATATATTGATATTATAAGATTGACATTATATTATATATTGGTATTATAAAATTGACATTTTATTATATATTGATATTATAAAATTGACATCATATTATATATTGATATTATAAAATTGACATCATATTATATATTGATATTATAAAATTGACATTATATTATATATTGATATTATAAAATTGACATCATATTATATATTGATATTATAAAATTGACATTATATTATATATTGGTATTATAAAATTGACATTTTATTATATATTGATATTATAAAATTGACATCATATTATATATTGATATTATAAAATTGACATTTTATTATATATTGATATTATAAAATTGACATCATATTATATATTGATATTATAAAATTGACATCATATTATATATTGATATTATAAAATTGACATTATATTATATATTGGTATTATAAAATTGACATTTTATTATATATTGATATTATAAAATTAACATCATATTATATATTGATATTATAAAATTGACATCATATTATATATTGATATTATAAAATTGACATTTTATTATATATTGATATTATAAAATTGACATCATATTATATATTGATATTATAAAATAGACATCATATTATATATTGATATTATAAAATAGACATCATATTATATATTGATATTATAAAATTGACATTTTATTATATATTGATATTATAAAATAGACATCATATTATATATTGATATTATAAAATAGACATCATATTATATATTGATATTATAAAATTGACATCATATTATATATTGATATTATAAAATTGACATTTTATTATATATTGATATTATAAAATAGACATCATATTATATATTGATATTATAAAATTGACATCATATTATATATTGATATTATAAAATTGACATTTTATTATATATTGATTTTATAAAAATGTTGGATGTTTGATTGATTACAGGCATCACAAGGTACCGAGTTGGATTGTCTTATACCACTACAATATGGCACTAGTAAGCTGATCATGGTGGGCGACCCAGAACAACTCTCCCCGACTGTCCTCTCCAGGGTCTGTATAATATATTGTGGTGATTTTAATTGATATTTCTTGGTAATACGTATTGGGTTTTACTTTCGGATTAAAGACATCATACACTTTCTTGCATTACAGATGAAATCTATTTTAGTTATCACTATTTTGATGGGTGAAATTTGTCATCTATTTTCATTTTAGCTCACCAGTGAAATCTTTCCTTGTTATCAATATACTGACTGGTGAAATTGGCCTTCTATTTTCATTTTAGCTCACCAATGACATTTTATTTGACCCATTTATAAATCTCATATGAAATGGAAATTACATTAATATCCTACATCTATGTAGAATCATACCACAAAAAGGAGTCGACTAACCACAAAACATCGGAGGTTAGGATATTTTTTTTTTGTTTATTTTTTTTTTTTGTCTATCAACAGAAAGCAGAAGAGAAGTGTTTTGGCCAATCTATGTTTGAACGAATGTATGGCTACTATAAATATAAGGAAACCAGCCCAGTCATACTTCTGGATACACAGTACCGTATGAACCCAGAGATTGCAATCTTCCCAAGCCAGTTTGTTTATGGAGGCAGACTTCTCTCAGACAGGTAAATCATAGCCTTAGATGGAAAGACTGACAGGCGGTCATGTATGTCATTTCTACATGTGATGATCTTTGTTCTTGAGAAAGTAATGAATGTTTTTTTCTCATGTAAGTTTGTTGACATGAGTATGAATATATATGAGTGAGGTTGAGTGTAGATAGCACTAGATACATGTGTATGATGATGATGATGATGAAATGAAGGTTAATGATTGGCAACTATGATGATATAATGTATTTGATGATGATGATGATGATGATGATGATGATGATGATGATGATGATGATGATGATGATGATGATGACGACAGCAGTGTGAAATTTTGTATGTGTGTTTGCTTTGTATGGAAATGCTTTGTCATGTATTTATATAGTAGTGAAAAATCATCGAAATTTTAATTAGAAAATGTAAGTTTGTTTACTAATGTTTCCACATAATATATTCACTTAGCAATACGGTAAATAGTCACACTTTAGGTACAAAGATGACTCAGTAAAGGTGGGAATAGGATAATCAAGATGTCAAGATCCCTCTAGGATCTCTTTATTTAGATCAATATGTTTGAAAATACCCGCATTGATTAGACTCGTTGAAGGAGATTGTATTCTGTGTAACAGAAATATTAACACTGTAGGTGTGTGGAGGAGCGGGGCCACAACTTCCCATTGAAGCCTTACCTGGTATTTAATGTTGAAGAGGGTCAGGAACAGAGCTCACAGGCAGGGTAAGAGCATGTCACAAGTCAATGTAAAATATTGAAGTTAAACAATTTTAATTCCACAGATGTGGTATGTGCTAATTAGCTTCTGCTGCTGTTAATATACTTGCATTCATATTTAATTGGCACATATTTACCTGAACCAATCCACTTGTGTTGATTCTCCTAAACATAGTATATAATTTTGAAAATACGTTTCAAAGATATTTGAGGAAAAACAAGTTCATAAAGTACTGTAAATCACTTAAGATCTCAAAGTTACTCTATTTTATGAACTTAGCTCTTCAGACATATTTATGAATAAATGCACATGATTTTCACGAACGCTGATCTAGAAATTACTTTAAATTCACAAACAATGAGCAATTAGAGATGTGTTTTAAGACGTAGATATTGGTAACCAACTCATCATGGATGCTATTTGGGACTCTCCTTTTGTATAAATGCGAAGATGAATCCCACATGAAATATAATCTGTATGGCAGGTAAACCACTTAGAGGTGTCAACAAATACAGTACATTAAAATCAGGCGAAAAAATCACGAGTTTCCTCTCAGACTGAGAACTTGTTGTGTTGTAGGTCAGTAAAGAATGAGGCAGAGGCTTGTTTTGTGGCCATGCTATGTAAGCAGATCACACGCTACACAGACATCCCACAGACAGATATTGGAATCATTGCTCCGTATCAGAGCCAGAAGTCTTTACTGGTTGAGAACTTGAAACAGTGGTGAGTACTACCTTTCTGGGTAGAAGATTATAGGTGTTTAGGATTGATAGAGTGATGATGGAAGAGAAGGAAGGAAAATGACAATATAGAATATGACAATATATGTAATGTTAATGTTTAATCCGTGAAATGTGGTGAAAACCAGATTTGATATGGTTCAAAAATAGACAAACTTTTTTCTTCAGGAAAATGACAAGCATTGAAGTGGGAACGGTAGATGGATTTCAGGGCAGGGAAAAAGAGGTCATCATTATGTCCTGTGTTAGGGCCAGCAGTTCAGGAGGCATTGGGTATGTATTAAGGTCAGAGATTATCTCTGTCATATCCTGTATCAGGGCCAGCATTTCAGGAGGCATTGGGTATGCATCTATGCTCCAAGGTTATTTCTGACATGTGCTGTATCATGGCTAGCAGTTCATATAACATTGTTTATGTTTTAAGGTCAAAGGTGACCTTTGTCATGTCTTGTATCAGGGCCAGCAGTTGAGGAAGTGTTGAATATGTAACAGGGTTAGGGATTACCACTGTCATTTTCCATGTCAGGGTCAATAGAGAGTTGGTATCAATTTCCTGAATTAAATTGGATTTCAGATATTTGTTGTGATCAACAATTACTATTATTCTAGGAATCAAACATTAGGTTTACCTCTGTCATGTATCAGGCCCAGTAGTTCTTCTTGAAAGTAATTTTTATTAGTCCTTACGAAAGATTCACTCTGAGATGTTGACGGTAATCAAGGATTTCTAATTTTAATTTACAATTTATAAATTGCTTGATTCAAGCCCAATGGCTATTTACTCTTTGGCATGTAGATATACATTATATATCCATGCAAAACCTTGGGTTGTCATTGTTTTAGATTTAGTTGTGGACACAATATCTCCTGTTAGATTAATCAGTTATGATACATGAAGTCATGTCATGTTACCCTATTCTGGGTATAACTACATATGTATTTTGTATTAATCACTGGCGTCCCTAGTCTTCAGCTACAGATTGTTTAAATACAAACTACAATTATGTTATATGACTTCACAAAATTGTTTCTATACCTTGGGCTGACCATCCTCATTACAGATTTGTTGCCAATAGAAAGAGGATGAATGTAGCACTGACGAGAGCTCGATCAGCCATGTATGTGGTGGGAAATCTCAGTTCCCTCAAGGTAAGCTGTCGAGCTTCAGTATTGAGTGTTTCTCAATTCATTATGTGTATTTGAATGAAGTGAGAAATAATTTATTATTACTGCACCTTCTTCATCTTGTATTTGCTGTTATTTTTCTTCTTGTCTGAATTTGTCACTGTGACCTTAGCCAAAGGTCAAAGATCACATATATAAATAAATTTCATTATTATGTATCCTATGTACTAACCTGTTGTTTATTGTTCTGTAATCAGGTCACTCTGACCTTCAGCCTGAGGTGGTCATTGCTTAAAGTGCAAATGTTATTCTGATAGGTATTTTATCACATCATTTAGCAAAGTTGATTTAAATGACAAGAACACTGACTACAAGATCACCAGGTCAGAGGTCAAGGTCAAATTTGATAAAATTTTGAAGTGAAGTTGATCAAAGTGAGAACTCATTTGGCTGAGAGTCAGCGTCTTTATATAAAGAAATCAAGGGCAGATTTTTTATTTCTTTTTACTGGTTAAATGTTCTTGTTATAAAGTTATGAAGCAGTGTTGGTCAGAATTCAGGTCAAAGATCTATCACTGGTAAATGGTTCATTACAATAGTCAGTGAGATATGATGGACATTGAAGGAGTCACAAGACCATAGATTAAGATTATTGGTCAAATTTATTCCTAAGCTCTTAAATATTTCTCATGGACAGAAAAATTTGTTCTTTGCTGATAAAGGGAGAGTGAAACATTTTGTTTATTGTATGTATTCCAAAGACCAAATAAGGGATCAAACCTCATTATTTACTGAGATTGTTTTTTAAATCTGTCTTCCTTAACAGAGATCTGGAGGAGACTGGGAGGTCCTGATAGAGGATGCAAGAAAACGCAAGGTTGTCCAAGACTGTGGGAAACAGACCAATTATTCTACTGCTGTACAGGTCTGCTTTAAACGACTGCCAACCTGATATCTGAAGGTCTGATGAGACAATTGATCAAATAATTGTGGAAGTGTCCTAAAAAAATCACATAATTCAGAAGTGTAGAGTGAACAATGGTGCTGTTCTGGAATAATCCACCAACCTGACAAGGAGCTGTTCTGGAATAATCCACCAACCTGACAAGGAGCTGTTCTGGAATAATCCACCAACCTGACAAGGAGCTGTTCTGGAATAACCCACCAACCTGACAAGGAGCTGTTGTGGAATTATCCACCAACCTGACACAGTGCTGTTCTAGAAAAATCCATTAACCTGACAAGGAGCTGTTCTAGAAAAATCTGCCTACCTGACAAGGATCTGTTCTGGAATAATCCACCAACTTGACATGAAGTTGTTAATGGAATAGTCCACCAACTTGACATGAAGTCGTTTTTGAATTATCCACTCACCTGACAAGGAGTCATTCTGGAATGATCCACCAGTCTGACTTGGAGCTGTTCTGGAATAATCCACCAACTTGACATGAAGTAATTAATGGAATAGTCCACCAGCTTGACATGAAGTCGTTTTTGAATTATCCACTCATTTGACGAGGAGTCGTTCTGGAATGATCCACCAGTCTGACTTGGATCTGTTCTGGAATAATCCACCTACCTGACATGAAGTTGTTACCAACCTGACACAAAGTGACAAAGTGCAACTCAAGGGTGATATTGAGGTGAACTTGGACTATACCTTGTGTAATATGCAGGTATACTGGGTCAGTCCTTTATACAATGTGATATGCTGGGGTGTGAACTGGAGTAATATAACTAGGTTGAGGTGCAGGCAAATTGGAAAGATGCTTTAGGGGGATACACAGTCATCTCATGTGATACGCAGTGAACTGGGACAGTAATCTCGTGTGATACGCAGTGAACTGGGACAGTAATTTCATGTGATACACAATGAACTGGGACAGTCTCTCATGTGATACACAGTGAACTGGGACAGTCCTCATACACAGATGAAGTGGGACTGTCCTCTAATATTTAAGGACAGTCCTCTGATGTGATGTGCAAGTTTACTGGTTCTTGCCTTTATATTTCAAGATAGGTTACTATGGTGATGATGGATTCTTGCATTATTTTTCAAATTAAAATTAATGTAGGTCACAGTAGTAATAATGGGTCCTTATCTTGATTATTCCACCACAAAGTAGGATTCTATAATGCTCCCAACACTCATTGTTGATGAGACATTTTGTTTAAGCTTCATATACAAATGTCAAAATTTGTCTTTGTATTTTATAGACTGCTTGACAATGTCATAGGAAATATTTATCTGTGATATTTTTATACAAATCTATATCAATTTGAAATCATTATGTTAATATGATGTATAGGTTGTGTGTACTGTATGTTTATGAAAATGTGTATCCGTAATGTGGATGTTTAAGGGAAATAAGAGTGTGTGTGTATATAGGTTGTGTGTACATAATTGGATGTTTAAGGTATGTGTGTGTATATAGGTTGTGTGTACATAATTGGATGTTTAAGGTATGTGTGTGTATATAGGTTGTGTGTACATAATTGGATGTTTATGGTAAGGGTGTGTATATAGGTTGTGTGTACATAATTGGATGTTTATGGTAAGGGTGTGTGTTTAGGTTGTGTGTACGTAATTGGATGTTTAAGGTATGTGTGTGTATATAGGTTGTGTGTGTATTTGTGGATGTTTATGGTAAGGGTGTGTATATAGGTTGTGTGTACATAATTGGATGTTTATGGTATGTGTGTGTATATAGGTTGTGTGTACATAATTGGATGTTTAAGGTATGTGTGTGTATATAGGTTGTGTGTACATAATTGGATGTTTATGGTAAGGGTGTGTGTTTAGGTTGTGTGTACATAATTGGATGTTTATGGTAAGGGTGTGTGTTTAGGTTGTGTGTACATAATTGGATGTTTATGGTAAGGGTGTGTGTTTAGGTTGTGTGTACATAATTGGATGTTTATGGTAAGGGTGTGTGTTTAGGTTGTGTGTACGTAATTGGATGTTTATGGTAAGGGTGTGTATATAGGTTGTGTGTACATAATTGGATGTTTATGGTAAGGGTGTGTGTTTAGGTTGTGTGTACGTAATTGGATGTTTAAGGTATGTGTGTGTATATAGGTTGTGTGTACATAATTGGATGTTTAAGGTATGTGTGTATATATAGGTTGTGTGTACGTAATTGGATGTTTAAGGTAAGGGTGTGTGTTTAGGTTGTGTGTACATAATTGGATGTTTATGGTAAGGGTGTGTGTTTAGGTTGTGTGTACATAATTGGATGTTTATGGTAAGGGTGTGTGTTTAGGTTGTGTGTACATAATTGGATGTTTATGGTAAGGGTGTGTGTTTAGGTTGTGTGTACGTAATTGGATGTTTATGGTAAGGGTGTGTGTTTAGGTTGTGTGTACATAATTGGATGTTTATGGTAAGGGTGTGTATATAGGTTGTGTGTACATAATTGGATGTTTAAGGTATGTGTGTATATATAGGTTGTGTGTACGTAATTGGATGTTTAAGGTATGTGTGTGTATATAGGTTGTGTGTACATAATTGGATGTTTATGGTAAGGGTGTGTGTTTAGGTTGTGTGTACATAATTGGATGTTTATGGTAAGGGTGTGTGTTTAGGTTGTGTGTACGTAATTGGATGTTTATGGTAAGGGTGTGTGTTTAGGTTGTGTGTACATAATTGGATGTTTATGGTAAGGGTGTGTATATAGGTTGTGTGTACATAATTGGATGTTTATGGTAAGGGTGTGTGTTTAGGTTGTGTATACGTAATTGGATGTTTAAGGTATGTGTGTGTATATAGGTTGTGTGTACATAATTGGATGTTTAAGGTATGTGTGTATATATAGGTTGTGTGTACATAATTGGATGTTTAAGGTATGTGTGTGTATATAGGTTGTGTGTACATAATTGGATGTTTATGGTAAGGGTGTGTGTTTAGGTTGTGTGTACATAATTGGATGTTTATGGTAAGGGTGTGTGTTTAGGTTGTGTGTACATAATTGGATGTTTATGGTAAGGGTGTGTGTTTAGGTTGTGTGTACATAATTGGATGTTTATGGTAAGGGTGTGTGTTTAGGTTGTGTGTACGTAATTGGATGTTTATGGTAAGGGTGTGTGTTTAGGTTGTGTGTACATAATTGGATGTTTATGGTAAGGGTGTGTATATAGGTTGTGTGTACATAATTGGATGTTTATGGTAAGGGTGTGTGTTTAGGTTGTGTGTACGTAATTGGATGTTTAAGGTATGTGTGTGTATATAGGTTGTGTGTACATAATTGGATGTTTAAGGTATGTGTGTATATATAGGTTGTGTGTACGTAATTGGATGTTTAAGGTAAGGGTGTGTGTTTAGGTTGTGTGTACATAATTGGATGTTTATGGTAAGGGTGTGTGTTTAGGTTGTGTGTACATAATTGGATGTTTATGGTAAGGGTGTGTGTTTAGGTTGTGTGTACATAATTGGATGTTTATGGTAAGGGTGTGTGTTTAGGTTGTGTGTACGTAATTGGATGTTTATGGTAAGGGTGTGTGTTTAGGTTGTGTGTACATAATTGGATGTTTATGGTAAGGGTGTGTATATAGGTTGTGTGTACATAATTGGATGTTTATGGTAAGGGTGTGTGTTTAGGTTGTGTGTACGTAATTGGATGTTTAAGGTATGTGTGTGTATATAGGTTGTGTGTACATAATTGGATGTTTAAGGTATGTGTGTATATATAGGTTGTGTGTACGTAATTGGATGTTTAAGGTATGTGTGTGTATATAGGTTGTGTGTACATAATTGGATGTTTAAGGTATGTGTGTGTATATAGGTTGTGTGTACATGATTGGATGTTTAAGGTATGTGTGTGTATATAGGTTGTGTGTACATAATTGGATGTTTATGGTATGTGTGTGTGTATAGGTTGTGTGTACATAATTGAATGTTTAAGGTATGTGTGTGTATATAGGTTGTGTGTACATAATTGGATGTTTAAAGTATGTGTGTGTATATAGGTTGTGTGTACATAATTGGATGTTTATGGTCAGGGTATGTGTAAGTAGGTGTACAGGCATGATGTGTGTCAGGTTGTGTGAAGGATGTTAGATGTAAGAATGTTCTACAGTATGGATTGTGTTGGGATATTGAGATCAAGTTCTTGCCATTGTGGACATTAAGATCTTTCTGACATCTATTTTAATAAGCCTGGCATGTTGACATTGTGGACATTTACATCTCTCTGACGTCCATTTTAGTATGTCTTCTCTGTACTACTTTCAAGAATGTTTTATTTTGTCTTTATGCAGATTAGCTATGCAATTTATTTCTCAATGTGAATGATACAAGTTGATATGTTACAATCCAAAATAGGTCTAGGGGAAGTGCCAGTGGCTGAAACAATCAAGACATTTTATGTTATTGAATATATTGTCAATTCTAGCTGTCAGTTAAAAGGTAATCAAACAACCTATGTGTGTTTTCATACTCCTGCAAATTTCATGATTGTGGCACATAGAGTTTACCATAGCCATTAACAGTTTCTAATACCCTTCATCTGGCAACGTAAATAATTTTAACACTTTCAACTTCTCAAAAACCCCTGATCTGATTTCAATGAAATTTTGCAGAAACCTTCCCTGGTCTAAGATGAACCAAATTTGTGAATTATACAGTCCCCCAGGGGCCTGAGGGGAGGGGCCAAAACTAATGAAACAAAGTGAAAAGAGTTTCAACCTTCTCTGAGGGTGCTGACAGGAGTATTGGTGTCAATCCGATACATCAAGTTTACAATTCAATCTAGGTTAGGTAAGAATTTTTCTTTATCTACAAACCCCAAGATGAATATTTCATCAAGACAAGCATAGTTTTAGGTCATGATCTTTCATGAAATCCTGTAAATCTGCAGTCCTATTCTGCTAGTGCATACTGGGTATGTACCTTCTTTTCCCAATGTATATGTGTTCAAAGACAGCTACAGTTAGAGGTTCTAGTCTGCCAGTATGAGTATGTACCTCACATCCCAATGTATATGTGTTCAAAGACAGCTACAGTTAGAGGTCCTAGTCTGCCAGTATGAGTATTTACTGCACATCCCAATGTATATGTGCTCAAAGACAGCTACAGTTAGTCTTACCAGTCCCCTGGCAGTGAAGCTGGAGAGGACTATAGTGTTTGTCATCTGTTTGTCTGTTCAGAGGGTTTCAGATGATCACTTGAGTAAGGGATGACCATTTGGGTTGAAATTTGATACAATTTTTGTTTACTAGGAGACCTTGTATTAGATTGCTTGGGGTCAAAAGGGAAACTTCAAAGGTCACTGCTGTTAAAAATAGATTTTTGGTTTCTAGATGATAACTTATGTTAGGGATAACTGATTAGCTTAAAACTTGATACAATCTTAGTTTAGTAGGAGACCTAGTGTGAGATTGTGTTTCAAAAGGTCAACCATGAAGATCACAATTGCTAAAAATTGTCATGATATTGGGTTACATACTCTGTGAAATTACCTTGTTGTGTTCCAATCAAAATATTTGAAAAGTTGCTTCAAAATGCTTATTATGGCATGGCAGTGGTATTGTACATGTGTACTTCCCTATGTCAAAAGACACTTGTTCATAAAAACCATGCATGCTGATAGCTGCATGTAGTCATATACTTGCATTTAGATACGAGGTGCTCAAGGAAGTTGAAGGTAAAAGCATTTATTGATTTATTTATGATTTATTGATATATTTTCTGTTACAAATATACAATGATGATGTAAAAGGCATTAGTTATTGCATCTCATTTAATGTCCATTCAATAAAATGTGTAGCATTATGATTTTAAGTATTATCAGCATAGAAAATTACACACCAAAAAAGTCCTTCTTTCTTAAATGTAGGTACATTCTGCATATGTTTTCCATTCTAATGTAATAAATACAATTTTTCTTTAAGAGGACTGAGTCTGTTATTTTTTCAATCCAATTCAGTCTTTGAAACCTACCATTTGCGATGAAGATGGATATATGGCATGGACGCTAGGAATTTTACAGCAGAAAATCAAGTACAGTAGTTGACCACAAAACTTGATTGGTGCATGAAATTGTAAAGATCGTTGACCTCCTGGCAGTAGGGGCGGGGTTAATTCAGCATTAATTAATAAGATGTATCAGATTAATATTTGTAATTAATACACACATACACACCTGCACAAATTCAGAAAACATATTTGTCCAAGGTACGTGGCTGGTGTACGAGATAATTTCTTTCTTAATGTGGTTCATGTGATCAGTCCCCAAGGTATGTGCTTGCTATTTTATGAATATATTAATTTGGCAAGGATTGCTGCTTATCTAGTACTATGTATACCTATTTATAGTGTATCCAATTTCATGGACAAACATTTAGGGAGGAAGGCGGCTGCATAACATGTATAGTCACCCATGACAATCTAACATTATTTGAAGTCTTTATTCCAGTAATTTTTATATTAATCCCTTATTTGCAGTATATATAATGTATGTACATCCTAATATCAGAACCATGGGCCTCTTGGTAAATGAAAAGTTTTCTAAAGATTTTAAGACATCTGACCTCTGACCATGAAAGTGGATCATTGTCATTCATTTGAACAAACTTGGTACTTGATAGCCCTTCATCCCATTGAAAAGTTCACAACTGCTGTTGCCACCACAACCTTAAGGACAGGTGAGCTCTTTTTCTCCAAATCCATTAAGTATTTATAAAATATTCAGTTTGAAAATCAGTATAACTATTGGAAAAGAACACTGGTTCAAAACCAGCACTTTGAAAAGAAAACAAAATAGAAGCAACTTGTACAAAATATATATATTTATTGAAATGTGAGTGGCTGAATGCTTCAATAAAAGTACTTCTGACTGCTCAGCTATCTTCTAACTGGAATATTACCACTCATAATAGCTCCTATAAAAAAGGAATTGAAAAAATAAAATGCTGAATTTACAAATGAACTAAAAACACTGACAGTGATACAATAAATTAGTACCATGGTTAGCTAAACTATGATGATGCTAATTAGCTGTACATGTACAGGTTTAATGATACAAGTGTACAGTTGGTAGCTGAAGTACGATGTGTATAGTGATGTACATGCTCACACATCTCTGCACCTTGGATAAGGAAGTAATTACATGATCATTGTTATCGTGTCAAAGGTGACCTTCGACCATGAACCCTGACCAATACCACTGAAATATAATTAGGTGTAAACATATTGGTGTTGTGATGCTCGTGTGTGAATCTGAACTAAATCTGGTTAGGGGTTCAAGAGAAAACATCTACACAAGCTTCTTATTTCCAAAGTGGTTGAGGGTGACTGCTGACCTTAAAACTTGACCAGTGACCATTTAAAATCTAATCTGGTACAGAACTTGGTGGTATGATGCTATGGTGTGAGATATCCTGTACACAAGGTTATCACAGACACACAAAGTGATTACTCTATACCTTCTATACCTAAGTGAGGGATACAATAAATCTGTACTGTGGGTAGCCAAGTATGATGTTGTTTAGATATGAAAGCCTACGAAGCACCAGGTAATGCAACATGATGACATTTAAAGTAAAGTTGTTACAAAAGGCTCTGGAATGTATGTTGACTTGTGTAAGAAATCAAAATGAATTCTGCAAGCCAACTAATTTGTATCTTCGAGTAAACCCTGTATTTGCAATAAGAAAAAGCAATAATACCTTACAAGCAAAAGTAGACAATAAACACCCACAACCTTGTATTGTAAATACATTGTAATAGAACAGTCTATAGGTAGTAAACAAGATGTACCAAATGGCATTTAGGCAGTAAATACAGTGTAACTATAATGTAACAGAACAGTCTATACGTAGTAAATACATTGTACCAAAATGACTTATAAGCAGTGAATTAAATACAATGTAACAATACAGTGTAAAAACAACTTATAGGCAGTACAGTAAATACTATGTAATAAGGGCCTATAGACTGTGTAAATACAATGTTAACACCAGCCTACAGACAGTACAGTAAATACAATGTAATAAGGGCCTAAAGGCGGTACAGTAAATACAATGTAACTACAGCCTATAGGCAGTGCATTAATACAGAATAACAGCCTATAGGCAGTCCATTAATACATAATAACTAATGGGTAATTTGAGATAAATATCTATGCAACATGATCTATAAAAACAATTGCATATAAAACTATAAAATCTGATTAAAGCTGAGCAAAACATATAAATTATTAACAAATTGTTCAAAATGATAATGAAAACAAAATCCATAGAACTAATCCATACTTCACAACCTACAATCCCTTTCTTTCCAGTGGCATGCCAGCGATAATCAGTTTGTATAACTCCATTCATGGAGAGCACAGTGAGATATGTCTACATATACAAACAGTACTCATCAATTTCATGTTGAACTAACAGCGAACATCCTAACAACAGATACAATGATGAGATACATTTGAAGACGAATCAAAATTACCAACTATGTACATTTCTTTCACAACAATACAAAAACAACTTCACAGTAAAAAAATTTCTCATCTTCATGAACAACAGTTACATATTAATTTCTGCAACCTTTTGTGATCCCTTTTGAAAAACACCCTGACGTAGCCTGTTGAGGACGACTTTACATCCATATGTGGCTAGATTCTGTATATGCAGCACTATAGGTGTTCCACAAGGCAGGTAGGGGAAGACACTATTAAAACATCCCAGATAAGGTTACCAACCATACACTGGGTAACAGCAGTCATAATCAATGAGACACTGCAGAACCCAGGACACCTGGGACAAAGCGTTCAAAGCATGGTTAGTTTCATTAAGAAACTGACACAATGTTTTTTAAATTTAATTTTTGTGGTAAGAACATCTGTTTAGTACTCCTGATCATTAAATAAATAATCTTCATCTCTATACATACTATTTTGTTGGAAATATCAACATTTTCTGAAAAAATTAATTTTGAATTCCTTTGTTGTTAAACTGGAAAGGCTGTGAACAACAAGGCCCCAGACTTAAAAGGTTCCATCACATTTAAGGTTCCATCGCATTTAAGTAATGTACATATAATTTGTCTTTCAGAATAGTTTCTATGATATATACAGCTTAATAATCTCTTACAGCACTTGGCACTAATACAAGACAATGGTTATCATTGACCACCGTAAAACACGAGACAATGGTTAGCTTTGACCTCTGCACAACACGAGGCAATGGTTAGCATTGACCTCCATACAACACGAGGCAAAGATTAGCATTGACCTCCGTACAACACGAGGCAATGGTTAGAATTGACCTCTGTACAACAAAGGACAATGGTTAGCATTGACCTCTGCACAACACTAGACAATGGTTAGCATTGACCTCCATACAACACGAGGCAAAGATTAGCATTAACCTCCATACAACACGAGGCAAAGATTAGCATTGACCTCTGTACAACATGAGGCAATGGTTAGCATTGACCTCAGTACAACACGAGACAATGGTTAGCTTTGACCTCCATACAACACAAGGCAATGGTTAGCATTGACCTCCATACAACACGAGGCAAAGATTAGCATTGACCTCCGTACAACACAAGACGATGGTTATCATTGACCTCAGTACAACACAAGACAATGGTTAGCATTGACCTCCGTACAACACAAGACAATGGTTAGCATTGACCTCTGTACAACACAAGACAATGGTTAGCATTGACCTCCGTACAACACAAGACAATGGTTAGCATTGACCTCTGTACAACACGAAGCAATGGTTAGCATTGACCTCAATACAACATCACTTTACAAATGACAATATCGACACCTCAATACAACTAACAAATGCTTCATGATATTCACATCAAATTTTGCTATCAGTGTGATACAATCAATCAATAAAACTACACTTAGAATTATATAATCTAATGCACCAGTGCACCAGTCTCTGGTAAAATAGAATTCTACATTTAATTAGATTCAAAATGTACAACAATAGACATTGCATTACATATTAAATACACTGTGGTATATCAATTGCATACTGTACTAGGATATACCAGCCTTAGTAACAGACAGGTACAGGCCATTGATTCTGTCTTACATAATAAGTCACTTATATCACCTATGGTTAGATTTTTTAATGATTTATATATTTGAGATTTAATACACTACCTGGTATATTATTTAAAATAAGATTTATTAATTGAAAAAAATTACTTTTTTTTATAAAGTCTACATATGTGTATGAAAATAGAACTGCTACGGTTCCATAAAAATATAAGTTCATGTATAATAATTCATTTAATATTTCCATAAAGTTACTGACAATATTTTTTTCCAAGTCTTCTACAGCTTGCTAACAGTAAGTAAAACAGATAAGACTTGTTGTCATAGAAACAGCCAATGAGCAGTAACCTATAATAAAAACATATTTCAGTAAGTTTACAGACGTATAACCTTGGGAGGCTATAAATGTTTAATGTCACTTATGATTTATATTAGAGTTCTCTCCCTTCCATATTCTCCAATGAGTTTATGAATTACGTTGATACAACTATACATGCAGTCAAGATAAAGGAAAAGTCAGATGTCCAGACTGTTATCACATCTAACTTAAGTTTTTCCATTTAAGGATTAAAAATTAAATTAGATTGTGTAGTTTTACATGTATCACATGTATGGTATGGTCTATCATCTGTACCCGGTACTAAACAACTGGGTCTTGTACAATAGAACCATTGTAAAAGACTAGTAATGTTTTGGCAACCTTCAAGTCTACAATGATAACTGTAATTATGTATAGAGTAACATATGCAAACCCTTATTCTCATTGCTTATAATGGGTAGGAATGTTCAAAACATACTACAAAACACTTCAGAACCATCAAAAATTAGAAAACAAAATTTCAATAATGACAACTTATCCTCTTAAAATATCCTCCACATACCTACAACTACCAAACATGCAGCTAACACAACTTACATCTAGCCTTACTCTCACATATCATATATCAATGTCGAGGAGGGGAATTATCTGAATGAGAAGGAGGATTAGGTTGTTTTTCTTTTGGCAATGGATTTTTAGGTGGTTTCTGTTGTTTTAGCGGTGGGGGAGGTTGATGGTTGGGAGGTTGTTTATGTTGTTGATTCTGTTGCCTTGCTTGCTGTTGTTGCTGTTCTTGTCTTTGTTGTTGCTGCTGTGCTTGTTGAGGCTTTGTTTGGGCTTGTTGCTGCTGCTGGCCTGAAGGATTCTGATCAGTCATTGCTGCCTCTTGTGAAGCTCGCTGTTTTTCTTTATGAGCTTTGATAGCATCATTGATGCGTGTGCGTACAATCTGTAGATGGTTGAAGATGTACTGCTCCTCTGGTGCCATGTTATGGACGCGTGTGAGACATTTCTCCGCTCGGAATAGGTCACGCTTCTCCACGTACACAACACACAGGTTATGATGTGCCTGAACATTCAGTGGCTCCAGTGCAATCACTAGATTGAAGTTCTGTAACATAAACCAAAACCTAGAGATTTCTTTTTTTTATATGGGGTGGGTAGAGGGACAATGGAGTTTCTTATAGCCTTTACTACAATCACCTTTCAACCATAACCATAAAGATAAATTTATTCAAGTTTTCTCCTAAGTGATTGAAGGCAACAGATTCAAACTTTTGATATTTTTTCTTCTCATTAACATATTCCAATGATGACTGCAACAAATTAGCATCACTACAACCTTATTCATATATCTTACTGACTGACGACAGGAGATTTACATGGCTACCCACCTTTTCTGCAGCATCCAGATCTTTAAGGTTATTAACATTAATGTCACCCATCAACATGTTGCCTTTAGTGTGATTCGGGTAAAACTGAAACAAGTGTGTATATAAGAATATTAAGTAATACAACCAGATAATTGTTGATGTTTTGGGAGTTAGTTTGATATAATGTTCCTCTATCATCTTCTGACAAATTTCAGCATGGTGTTGGAAATTAGTAAAAGGTTATGCTGAAGAGGATCATTTCTGATTAGACATGAGGGGTGCCCTAAACCATTTGTAGCATTGATAGCAATTTAAAAGAATAACTTACTTAAAGTGATGCTGAAAATGTTTAAAAGCAAGTATATAATTTGTTAAATATAAATTTATCCGTATAAAAAATTTTGACCCAAGAAAATTATCAGTTATATGGTATAACAGACAGGTTATGCTACCTTTTAGAGATATAATATATATGGGTATTTATGGAGTGGAACCATTTGATGGAAATATAGCTCTACTATGTTCACAATAACACAGCTGCAAAAAGTGTTTTACTGTGTTTCCTTTTCAGCAATACAACATGTAACTCACCTGTAAAAGTGTCTCCAGGTAAGGAACAGCTTCCAAAGGTTTCTTCATGTTATTAGTCAGAAGGAGTGCAAGGTTAAACAAGGCACTTTTAAAGCTTCCCTCCAGCTGTTACAACAATACCAAAAGAATCATTGTACAGAAAATAAACAGTATCAAATTAGACAACCTGGGTACAAACTTTTCAACTCTTGAGAGCATTGTCTTCATGATTAAGCAGATATAATTACGATAAAGACACTGCATATATGGACATACCAAAAGCAGTTACATACACAGCCTTAGTAAACTAGTGACTAACATGTTCCAGACTGGATACCTTCCTCTATACAGCAGTAGTAAACTAGTGACTATCATGTTTCAGACTGGAGACCTTCCTCTATACAGCCTTAGTAAACTAGTGACTATCATGTTTCAGACTGGAGACCTACCTCTATACAGCCTTAGTAAACTAGTGACTAACATGTTCCAGACTGGAGATCTACCTCTATACAGCCTTAGTAAACTAGTGACTATCATGTTTCAGACTGGATACCTTCCTCTATACAGCCTTAGTAAACTAGTGACTATCATGTTTCAGACTGGAGACCTACCTCTATACAGCCTTAGTAAACTAGTGACTAACATGTTTCAGACTGGAGACCTACCTCTATACAGCCTTAGTAAACTAGTGACTAACATGTTCCAGACTGGATACCTTCCTCTATACAGCAGTAGTAAACTAGTGACTATCATGTTTCAGACTGGAGACCTACCTCTATACAGCCTTAGTAAACTAGTGACTAACATGTTCCAGACTGGATACCTTAATCTATACAGCCTTTGTAAACTAGTGACTAACATGTTTCAGACTGGATACCTTCCTCTATACAGCCTTAGTAAACTAGTGACTAACATGTTTCAGACTGGAGACCTTCCCCTATACAGCCTTAGTAAACCAGTGACTATCATGTTTCAGACTGGATACCTTAATCTATACAGCCTTAGTAAACTAGTGACTAACATGTTTCAGACTGGATACCTTAATCTATACAGCCTTTGTAAACTAGTGACTAACATGTTTCAGACTGGATACCTTAATCTAAACAGCCTTAGTAAACTAGTGACTAACATGTTTCAGACTGGATACCTTAATCTAAACAGCCTTAGTAAACTAGTGACTAACATGTTTCAGACTGGATACCTTAATCTATACAGCCTTTGTAAACTAGTGACTAACATGTTTCAGACTGGATACCTTAATCTAAACAGCCTTAGTAAACTAGTGACTAACATGTTTCAGACTGGAGACCTTCCTCTATATAGCCTTAGTAAACTAGTGACTAACATGTTTCAGACTGGATACCTTCCTCTATACAGCCTTAGTAAACTAGTGACTAACATGTTTCAGACTGGAGACCTTCCTCTATACAGCCTTAGTAAACTAGTGACTATCATGTTTCAGACTGGATACCTACCTCTATACAGCGTTTAAAGTGTGCCTCAGCTTTGACAAAGTCATGTCTATCCATTTCCAGCATCCCTAGGGTAAAGTGGACCTTGGAATCAGCAGGGTTAAATTCCTTCAGCTTGCCAAGTCTGGGGCGAAAAACAGAAGGAGAGTAGACAAGTTGATTACATACTGTTTAATATGAACAAAGTAAGCAGCCAACAACCTTTAAATTTTGACCACATATCCTACCTTTTGTCTGCCTCAGGCCAGTCTCTTGGGTCCCCTCCCTCCTGTAGCATGATAGCAGAGTTGTACAAGGATTGCTGAAACAAGGATAGTATATCTATATTAAACTTGTGTTAGACTAGTGTTTTATAATTTATGAACTGTAAAGTTATTTAGGATGAAACATGTTTCCTGTCAACATGTTGTCGATAATTCACTGACAGCTTTGACAGATTTGTGAAAACATTCATGTTCATCTAACATAAGTCATAAGGTAATTCATGAAATTATCTACTTGTATTGTAGGAAATTTTGAGAATGATCACCACAAGAAATCCCAGAAGGATCTTGGTACCTACAATGTGCCATTAATAATCTTCATTTGTTATAAGATTGATCATTTCTTTCCACATGAATTTATACTAAAATCATGTCAATTGTGGATAATCATCTGATACCATGGTCCAAAATTTCTAGTGCTGTGTTCAAAATGAAAATGGTGTAAACTATTGACTATCTACCTGATGACGGTGGGATCAATTATAAAGATAATCTGAATTATTAATTACCATATGATCTGGATCATGAAGCAGAGCTTCTTCAAAGTTGATCTTAGCTGCTGCTGCATTACCCATCTCCAGGTTAACAACTCCAAGCTGTAGAGATACAAAGCAGTTATTCTTCCTTGTACAGTTTATAAAAACATCAGCAACAAAGTTCCTATGACACCTGAACTGGTCATTTATATGTCACTACTACACCTGAACTGATCAGTTATATGTCACTACTACTCCTGAACTGATCAGTTATATGTCACTACTACTCCTGAACTGATAATTTATATGTCACTACTACTCCTGAACTGATCAGTTATATGTCACTACTACTCCTGAACTGATAATTTATATGTCACTACTACTCCTGAACTGATCATTTATATGTCACTACTAATCCTGAACTGATCATTAATATGTCACTACTCCTGAACTGGTCATTTATATGTCACTACTACTCCTGAACTGATCATTTATATGTCACTACTATCCCTGAACTGATCAGTTATATGTCACTACTATCCCTGAACTGATCAGTTATATGTCACCAATACTACTTGAACTGATCATTTATATGTCACCACTACTCCTGAACTGATCATTTATATGTCACTACTACTCCTGAACTGATCAGTTATATGTCACTACTACTCCTGAACTGATCAGTTATATGTCACTACTACTCCTGAACTGATCAGTTATATGTCACTACTACTCCTGAACTGATCAGTTATATGTCACTACTACTCCTGAACTGATCAGTTATATGTCACCACTATTCCTGAACTGGTCATTTATATGTCACCACTACTCCTGAACTGATCAGTTATATGTCACTACTACTCCTGAACTGATCAGTTATATGTCACTACTACTCCTGAACTGATCAGTTATATGTCACTACTACCCCTGAACTGATCATTTATATGCCACTACTACTCCTGAACTGATCAGTTATATGTCACTACTACTCCTGAACTGATAATTTATATGTCACTACTACTCCTGAACTGATCAGTTATATGTCACTACTATCCCTGAACTGGTCAGTTATATGCCACCACTACTCCTGAACTGATCATTGATATGACTTACATTATAATGGACATCAGCATTATCTGGTTCGTATTTTAGAGCCAATTTGTACTGATCCAGTGCATCTGGTAGTCTGTAATTAAGTTAAAGTGAGTTAGAAATGTAACATTTTCATAACTGATGAAACAAGCAGCTTAGCGGCCTTGACAGTCACTTGAAGTAAGCAATATTGAATACAAAGGTTATAGGGTATATAGCTTTCAAATGCTACAAAAAAGAAATTGCAACATTGATGATAGTAAAATTACGTGATGTTTTAAGCCCTAAGGGGTCAACAAGTGTCAAGAAATGCATACCATCAAAACTATCATCCTATACAAATAATTCTTACCACGCTATTTTCAATGGAAAATCAATATTTTTATGCTCAAAATGCATTTTCATATAAAAACTAGAGTAAATTTCAACCCCTTTCAAGGGATAATGTGAAACCCTGGGATCATGAAATTTACAATTTAGGCAAAGCACTCGAAGACCCTACATCCATGAAGAGCATCTGACTCTACCAATCTGATGAGAAGAAGATTTTTGGAATACATATCAATTTGACCCCACCCATCAGCCCTGGAGATCAGTCAAGGTCAATATGTGCAAACAATCAAGTTGTTGTCCTACACAAATAATTCTTACTAAGTTTTAAGTATTCCAAATGAAAAATATTATGCTCAAATATTTATGCTCAAATTGAAATTTTCATAAACTAATGTAAACTTTACCTTGGGGGGAAATATAAGACCCTGGGGTCATGAAATTCACAAATTTGTGATTTTTTTAAACACCTGAAGACCCTTCAATCCATGAACAGCAATTGATTCTACTATATCTTGGTGCTGAGAAGGAGATTTTTGAAATTTGAATAAATTTGGCCCACTTTTGGTCCCAACATTCAGGCCCCTGGGGTAAGTGAGCTATCTTTGGCTCCATTTTTAGCCAAGGAAAAGTTTCTGCAAAATTTCATGAAAATCTGCTCAGGGATTTTTGAGAAGAAGTAAAAATTGTAAATAGTTTACAGACACACAATGCATGACACTAGACAAAATAAGTGAGACTGAGTTCATCTTAAAATACACATCTATGGTGAAGATAATAGTAATAATAATGATTCCTCAGGAGATATTACTTTAGGGAAAACAAGATACAAATACACCAGCAAATTACAGGCAACTTTACATTAAACAACATTATACTTACTTCATGACGTTAAACAACATATACCTTAGTTTTATCATAGGCTAGTTTACACAAAAACATACAGGTAATTTCATCAATGGCTAGTATACACTAAACAGTATACTTAACTTCACCACAGACCACATTACATAAACAAGATATACCTTAGTTCATCACAGACCACATAACTTAAACAAGATATACCTTAGTTCATCACAGACCACATAACTTAAACAAGATATACCTTAGTTCATCACAGACCACATTACATAAACAACATATACCTTAGTTCATCACAGACCACATTACATAAACAACATATACCTTAGTTCATCACAGACCACATTACATAAACAACATATACCTTAGTTCATCACAGACCCCATTACATAAACAACATATACCTTAGTTCATCACAGACCACATTACATAAACAAGATACCTTAGTTCATCACAGACCACATTACATAAACAACATATACCTTAGTTCATCACAGACCACATTACATAAACAACATATACATCAGTTCATCACAGACCACATTACATAAACAACATATACCTTAGTTCATCACAGACCACATTACATAAACAACATATACCTTAGTTCATCACAGACCACATTACATAAACAACATATACCTTAGTTCATCACAGACCCCATTACATAAACAACATATACCTTAGTTCATCACAGACCACATTACATAAACAACATATATCTTAGTTCATCACAGACCACATTACATAAACAACATATACCTTAGTTCATCACAGACCACATTACATAAACATGATATACCTTAGTTCATCACAGACCACATTACATAAACAAGATATACCTTAGTTCATCACAGACCACATTACATAAACAACATATACCTTAGTTCATCACAGACCACATTACATTAAGCAACATATACCTTAGTTCATCACAGACCACATTACATAAACAAGATATACCTTAGTTCATCACAGACCACATTACATAAACAAGATATACCTTAGTTCATCACAGACCACATTACATAAACAACATATACCTTAGTTCATCACAGACCACATTACATAAACAACATATACCTTAGTTCATCACAGACCACATTACATAAACAAGATATACCTTAGTTCATCACTGACCACATTACATAAACAACATATACCTTAGTTCATCACAGACCACATTACATAAACAACATATACATCAGTTCATCACAGACCCCATTACATAAACAACATATACCTTAGTTCATCACAGACCACATTACATAAACAACATATACCTTAGTTCATCACAGACCACATTACATAAACAAGATATACCTTAGTTCATCACAGACCACATTACATAAACAAGATATACCTTAGTTCATCACAGACCACATTACATAAACAACATATACCTTAGTTCATCACAGACCACATTACATAAACAACATATACATCAGTTCATCATAGGCCACTTTTCACTTAACAGAAGATACATTAGCCACAGATAACTGAGAGTATTAATCCACAACTCAATAGTCATTTCAGAGGAAACAAAACAATGTTCACCATGAAAGTATTAATTCAATTGAATTGAATTTATTTTCCCAGGCATAATTTCATATAATTTGAACAGGTTTAACTAAAACTGTCACTAGGATGGGTGACTGATACCCCCCGCAACTGCTAGGAGTTTAAAAACAATGGAAGTTTAACGGAGGAAACTGAGAAGCTGCCAATCCATAACCATGTCAACCAATAGTTTTGAAATGCCTACCAATGAATTCACAGTACCCAAATACCCTCATGTACTAATTTTCATCAAAATCTAACAATATTTAAATTTTGACCAATTTGGAAGCTGCCAATCCATAACCATGTCAACCAATAGTTTTGAAATGCCTACCAATGAATTCTCAGTACTCAAATACCACTATATATTAATTTTCAGCGAAATTGAACAATATTTAAATTTCTGACCAATCGGAAGCTGACAATCCGTTACCATGGCAACTTTTTTGAAAAATCACTTCAGAGGGCACATCTGCATATTGTACTGAACATTCCCACAAAATATTTTTTTTAAAATCCGTTGAAAACTGTGCGAATGCATAGGCGGACAAACTTTCGTCAATGGACGTCCAATTTTGACCAATCGGAAGCTGCCAATCCGTTACCATGGCAACTGTTTGAAAAATCACTTCCGTTGAAAACTGTGCGAATGCATAGCCGGATAATCTTCCGTCTACAGACAGACGTATGGACGGACGGACAAGCTGATTCCAGTTTACCCCCGCCCCGCTCAACTTCGTTGCGGGGGGTATAACAATATTTAATTAATTTTGACTGAAGGTTTGCCATAATAGAAATCAAAATCATTTATATCTCAATTTATCACAGGCTACTTGAGCGTAAATAATATACCTTACTGGTAACTATTTCTAAGAAAAGAAAGTCTTAAAAAATCAACATCACATTGTAGAATAAACAAACTGGATCACTCCTTCGATGCAGTCATGAACATTGATGTTCAATAGACATTACGTACCTTGACATCTTGACCATAATATCACCACGATTTATGTAGCCTTGGACATAGTCAGGCCTCATGGAAATAGCTGTCTTCAGCAACTGTAACATAACAGTGGATGTTAGAGTGTCATACATCATCACATGACACAATACAGATGTAACTGGGTGTCCTCACTGACTGTAACATAACAGTGGATGTACGAGTGTCATACATCATACCATGACACAATACAGGTGTAACTGGGTGTCCTCACTGACTGTAAGATAACAGTGGATGTTAGAGTGTCATACATCATCACATGACACAATAAAGGTGTAAATAGTCATCCTCATCAGTTGTGAGATCAAGGTGACTGTTAGACAACATTATCAGGTAATGAAATTTAAGTATTTTAGCAAGGCTATGCACCCAACAATCCTACTGATATCCCCAGTTAAGAGTCAGTGTTCTGTGAACTATATCCCCAGTTAATAGTCAGTGTTCTGTGAACCATATCCCCAGTTAATAGTCAGTGTTCTGTGAACTATATCCCCAGTTAATAGTCAGTGTTCTGTGAACCATATCCCCAGTTAATAGTGAGTTTTCTGTGAACTATATCCCAACAGTCAATAGTCAGTGTTTTGTGAACCATATCCCCGCAGGTAATAGTCAGTGTTCTGTGAACCATATCCCCGCGGTAATAGTCAGTGTTCTGTGAACCATATCCCCACAGTCAATAAAGTAAGTTTTCTGTGAACTATATCCCCAGTTAATAGTCAGTGTTCTGTGAATTATATCCCCAGTTAACAGTGAGTGTTCTGTGAACAATATCCCCTATAAATAGTCAGTGTTCTGTGAACCATATCCACAGTTAATAGTCAGTGTTCTGTGAACCTTATCCCCATTGTTTATAGCAAGTGTTCTGTGAACCATATTCCAACAGTCAATACTAAGTGTTCTGTGAACCATATCCCCATTGTTTATAGTCAGTGTTCTGTGAACCATATCCACAGTTAATAGTCAGTGTTCTGTGAACCATATCCCAACAGTCAATAGTAAGTGTTCTGTGAACCATATCCCCATTGGTAATAGCAAGTGTTTTGAGAACCATATCCCCATTGTTAATAGTCAGTGTTCTGTGAACCATATCCCCATTGTTAATAGTCAGTGTTCTGTGAACCATATCCCCATTGTTAATAGTCAGTGTTCAGTGAACCATATCCCCATTGTTCATAGTGAGTGTTTTGTGAATAAAGTATAAACAAATCAATCCTTTCTTTTTCACATTTTTGTAACCACACATTATACAGAAATACCTTGACATGTGATACCTACATTGTCGGCCTCGGCCAGGCGAGAAGGATCCTTGGACACGAGGGAGGCCAGATTGAGGTAAACATTTAGATGATTTGGAGCCACTCGTGTCGTGTAACTTTTACCTGGAACAGGAAACAATACGTGTTGGGTGACAAAACAGTATGTTACACTATCATACATAATACAAGTACAATGAGAGTCCCGATCTTGATGTCACATACAACACACTACCTACTAATAGTTTCTTCTATACTTTATTTCCGTTTTCTGCTTCAAGTACAACATACGTAAGTTCATTAAATCAGAAACAAACACTGTAGCATGTCAATATAGAATGATAAATTAGCCATACTAATCTCTGGTGTAAGAGCAATACATTAGTCCTCAATATACAGAGACTGACCTGGGATGACGGGAGGAAACAAATCCATAGCACGTTTGTATGCATTTTCTGCCTCTGTTGACTGGTTTAATGTGTTGTATGTCCTTCCTACATTCATGTGGGCACCAATATCATCTGGTTGTACACTGTAAAAAAGGGGAAAAAAGTGTGTAACCTCTGGGACAATTAAAGGTGCTAACAACTAACAATATCACAGCCATATAACTGTAATGTATAAATACATTTCCACCTGGCTGTACCCTAAAACATTCACACAATATCACCTGGCTGTACTCACACAATATCACCTGGCTGTACTCTAAAACATTCACACAATATCACCTGGCTGTACTCACACAATATCACCTGGCTGTACTTTAAAACATTCACACAATATCACCTGGCTGTACTCACACAATATCACCTGGCTGTACTCACACAATATCACCTGGCTGTACTCACACAATATCACCTGGCTGTACTTTAAAACATTCACACAATATCACCTGGCTGTACTTTAAAACATTCACACAATATCACCTGGCTGTACTTTAAAACATTCACACAATATCACCTGGCTGTACTCTAAAACATTCACACAATATCACCTGGCTGTACTCACACAATATCACCTGGCTGTACTCACGCAATATCACCTGGCTGTACTTTAAAACATTCACACAATATCACCTGGCTGTACTCTAAAACATTCACACAATATCACCTGGCTGTACTCTAAAACATTCACACAATATCACCTGGCTGTAACACATATCACACACACAATATCACCTGGCTGTACTTCTAAAACATTCACACAATATCACCTGGCTGTACACACAATATCACCTGGCTGTACTCTAAAACATTCACACAACATCACCACACAACATCACCTGGCTGTACCCTAAAACATTCACACAATATCACCTGGCTGTACTCTAAAACATTCACACAATATCACCTGGCTGTACTCACACAATATCACCTGGCTGTACTCTAAAACATTCACACAATATCACCTGGCTGTACCCTAAAACATTCACACAATATCACCTGGCTGTACCCTAAAACATTCACACAATATCACCTGGCTGTACTCTAAAACATTCACACAATATCACCTGGCTGTACTCTAAAACATTCACACAATATCACCTGGCTGTACTCTAAAACATTCACACAATATCACCTGGCTGTACCCTAAAACATTCACACAATATCACCTGGCTGTACTCTAAAACATTCACACAATATCACCTGGCTGTACTCTAAAACATTCACGCAATATCACCTGGTTGTACTCACACAATATCACCTGGCTGTACTCTAAAACATTCACACAATATCACCTGGCTGTACTCACACAATATCACCTGGCTGTACTCACACAATATCACCTGGCTGTACTCTAAAACATTCACACAATATCACCTGGCTGTACTCTAAAACATTCACACAATATCACCTGGCTGTACTTTAAAACATTCACACAATATCACCTGGCTGTACTCTAAAACATTCACACAATATCACCTGGCTATACTCACACAATATCACCTGGCTGTACTCTAAAACATTCACACAATATCACCTGGCTGTACTCACACAATATCACCTGGCTGTACTCTAAAACATTCACACACCTGGCTGTACTCACACAATATCACCTGGCTGTACTCTAAAACATTCACACAACATCACCTGGCTGTACCCTAAAACATTCACACAATATCACCTGGCTGTACTCTAAAACATTCACACAATATCACCTGGCTGTACTCTAAAACATTCACACAATATCACCTGGCTGTACCCAAAAACATTCACACAATATCACCTGGCTGTACCCTAAAACATTCACACAATATCACCTGGCTGTACTCTAAAACATTCACACAATATCACCTGGCTGTACTCTAAAACATTCACACAATATCACCTGGCTGTACCCTAAAACATTCACACAATATCACCTGGCTGTACTCTAAAACATTCACACAATATCACCTGGCTGTACTCTAAAACATTCACACAATATCACCTGGCTGTACTCACACAATATCACCTGGCTGTACTTCACACAATATCACCTGGCTGTACATCACACAATATCATTGTACTCTAAAACACACAATATCACCTGGCTGTACTCTAAAACATTCACACAATATCACCTGGCTGTACTCACACAATATCATTCACACAATATCACCTGGCTGTACTCTAAAACATTCACACAATATCACCTGGCTGTACTCTAACAACACCTGGCTGTACACACACACAATATCACCTGGCTGTACTCTAAAACATTCACACAATATCACCTGGCTGTACTCTAAAACATTCACACAATATCACCTGGCTGTACTTTAAAACATTCACACAATATCACCTGGCTGTACTCACACAATATCACCTGGCTGTACTCACACAATATCACCTGACTGTACTCTAAAACATTCACACAATATCACCTGGCTGCTGCTGTACCCACAATAACCTGGCTGTACTCTAAAACATTCACACAATATCACCTGGCTGTACCCTAAAACATTCACACAATATCACCTGGCTGTACTCTAAAACATTCACACAATATCACCTGGCTGTACTCACACAATATCACCTGGCTGTACTCTAAAACATTCACACAATATCACCTGGCTGTACTCTAAAACATTCACACAATATCACCTGGCTGTACTCACACAATATCACCTGGCTGTACTCACACAATATCACCTGGCTGTACTCTAAAACATTCACACAATATCACCTGGCTGTACTCTAAAACATTCACACAATATCACCTGGCTGTACTCTAAAACATTCACACAATATCACCTGGCTGTACTCACACAATATCACCTGGCTGTACTCTAAAACATTCACACAATATCACCTGGCTGTACTCTAAAACATTCACACAATATCACCTGGCTGTACTCTAAAACATTCACACAATATCACCTGGCTGTACTCTAAAACATTCACACAATATCACCTGGCTGTACCCTAAAACATTCACACAATATCACCTGGCTGTACTCACACAATATGACCTTGGTTGTCACACAGATGCTTCTATTGTTTTCATTAATCTACATGTCAAATATGAATAGGTATCATTTAAGACAATATTGAAATTTTGACCAATCACAGGCCACAGAGATCATCTTGCATCATAAGACTTGCAACTTGACCATATAACAATCATATGCATTTTTATAAAGATAAATATTTCTGCTTGTCTTGACCAGTGGTGTCAACAGGCATGTGATTTTTATTAGTAACTAATCCGCCTGACAAATAGATTTTTCATATCATTCCATGTATTAATAAAATAACACTGTCTACCTAACCATTATGCATTCCTTCAGCGGGTCATTGTTGTGGAAAGTTGCAAATTTTCAGAAAGTACATTAGTGTTATGCTTTCTATCAGATCTTCAAATAATATATAGCAAATTGTCACAAAAGATCGCCCACTCAACAATGTTTACACTAGGTCTAAAATTGGATGTTCTTTAAATCTTGTCTTGTTGATTACACTTACTGATGGTAACAGACTTAGCAAAATGTTCACAAGAAATCAATCATTAATTCATAATTAAACTTGATTGAATTAAAGACTAATACACAATGTCTGAGCACAATATGCATGATTTTGAACATTTTTAATGCACCTTTTCCAGACAAGTGAAGAGTACAAGAGGCCCATGGGCCTTAACAGTCATCTGACATAAAATACAAGATTTCAAATTTTGAACTTGAGAAGAAGTCAAAAATGTGTTTTCAATATAGTGGCCATTTTGGATTTTGGACCAAAAGGCGATCCCTTCGGTCAGATGACCTAATAATTACCAAAGTCACTAGTCTGACAGATGAGTGCTTCAGAGTATTCACAGAATCAAGGAATATAAATCTCCACAAAAATTAACAATTTTACAGTATGTGGGGGAGTGGGATGAACACCATCTCATTTAATTATGCAACATTGACAGACAAGAACTACAATGACGACTGACAGATAACTCTGACAGGTTAAAGATAACCAAAGGTAGATATAGTTCGATACAAACCTGGCAGCTTTGACAAAGTACTCAAGTGCTTCAATGTAACGTTCTTCCTTTTCCAATGCATGACCAACATTGTTAAAGCATTTAGCATTCCTCTGGTTGACTTTCAAGGCGGACTTGAATAGGGTATACTCTGACTTCCTACAAAAACACTCAGCTTTACCATCACAACAAATAAGATCTTAATCACTTGTACACGTAATACATATCAAATAGACTGTTAATTTTGTTTGACTAAAAGACATTTGAAAGTAAACATAAATGATTGACTGAAAACTGAATCCCCATTCAGCAGCCCAATTTAACAGACACATGTAAAATGGAGTAAGTGATTGTTATACAGTTAACACTAGTTCAGTTGACGCTAGAAATATGGTTGATTATACTGGGAACATGTATATTTGTCCTACAGTACCAGTAGAAATATGGTTGACTATACTGGGAACATGTATATTTGTCCTACAGTACCAGTAGAAATATGGTTGACTATACTGGGAACATGTATATTTGTCCTACAGTACCAGTAGAAATATGGTTGACTATACTGGGAACATGTATATTTGTCCTACAGTACCAGTAGAAATATGGTTGATTATACTGGGAACATGTATATTTGTCCTACAGTACCAGTAGAAATATGGTTGATTATACTGGGAACATGTATATTTGTCCTACAGTACCAGTAGAAATATGGTTGACTATACTGGGAACATGTATATTTGTCCTACAGTACCAGTAGAAATATGGTTGATTATACTGGGAACATGTATATTTGTCCTACAGTACCAGTAGAAATATGGTTGATTATACTGGGAACATGTATATTTGTCCTACAGTACCAGTAGAAATATGGTTGATTATACTGGGAACATGTATATTTGTCCTACAGTACCAGTAGAAATATGGTTGATTATACTGGGAACATGTATATTTGTCCTACAGTACCAGTAGAAATATGGTTGATTATACTGAGAACATGTATATTTGTCCTACAGTACCTGTAGAAATATGGTTGATTATACTGGGAAATGTATATTTGAATACAGTACCACTAGAAATATGACTAATTACACTGAGATTATCTAACACATAATAATATTAACAATGGCCTATTGTTGTATCACCAACAGGAAGGCAAAACATTCCTGCATTTTCAAGCCCTCCTATTATGAGTGTAGGGAAAGGTAGAGGGAGTGTTGCTCACATATTTGTCTATTGCCAAGACACAATATTATCTTTTCTTCTTTCTATCCTTCAAAATGTCACAAATAACTTATGGTTCCTGCAAATGTCACATTTCTTACATGTTACATTAACTAAGAAATACTGAACTATCCTCAAAAAGAAACCTGCAGAATTTTCAGAAAGTTTCAGATTGAAATAAAAGAGAGAGGAAGTCCAGCCTAGTGCATGCAAGTGTGTAACCTACTTACCACTCCCAGTTTCTGTGGTGAGTCTTTAGTCCGTGCGTTAGTAAAAGGAGACCAAACAAGCCCCATAAAATAGGCTTCAAGCTTCTGTGAAGTAGGAGAAAAATGCAGAAAACAAATCATAAACAAAATTTAACACAAACCAAAAATCCACATCAGTTTAAAACTTGTGAAATGTGTCATCTCCACTGATTCAGTCATTCATAACAAGAAAATATGGCCGAATTACAGTCCCCCATCAACACACACCCTCAACAAGATAAATCCTTAAACAAGTATTTACTTCCTGTGATAAGTTGTGTAAAAGGTCAACAAATCTTTTCCTTGATGTAGGTCAAAGGTAAAAATTTCATTGAAAGTGACTTCCTTTTGATTTGCAACAATGTCAGACCAAGTTGAGTCTAAATCACATGAATAAAGATACTATGATAAGTAGTGTAGAAAAAAAGTTTCTGACAATCTGTTTTTTTTATGTTGATCAAAGGTCAAAATGTAGGTCAGAATGACCTACTTTTGACATGTAACTATGTGATTTTTTGTAAAGAAGATAGGGGTTGGACAAGATAATGGAAGGACAAAAGGACTGACACAACACAAAACTACAGTCCTCTCACATTCCCAGTGGGGGACTTAGAAGCATACTTCAAAAACAAAGCAGAAATACTTGGTTAACAACTTTTTGTTGAAAACAGTTCAATGTTATTTACATGTAATTTTCTAATAACATCTTTCACACTTCTTTAATATAATTTTTTTCCGTAGACATTTAAATTTAGGGTGTGTGGCAGCATGAGAGAAAAAGGTTATGCCTTAATGCATCAAAGGCCAACATAATTGATTCCAACCAGAGACAATGATATCAATGAACTCCACCGACAGCAGAGTCTTTCTAGTAGAGGAAGATGGAAGATGACAAATTTCAACAGTAGATTACAATACAAAATAAAAATTGTGATCAACATGCTAAAAATAGTAGCAAGGTAGAACACAACAGCATGCTGACATATTTACACAGCATTCAAATTCAAATCAAAACAAAGTCTGAAAAAATAAGCTACCTTAAAATTCAGAATGAAACGCTGGTTACTGTACTTGACTGAATTAGCACACATGCTCCTTTAAGTGCACCCCCACCTTTTTCAGGGAAAAAAGTTGGGTGCACTGATTAAAACCTAGCATGTTTTGTAAAAAAAGGATATGGCATACAAAATGCATATTTTACCAATAAAAATATAAAAATGAGTGAAATATTAAACTTTAAGCTTCATGTTTAATCATTTGTTAAAATACTTGTATTCATTGAAATTATCTGGTTTTATTGCATTGTTTACATTGACAACAAAATGGCGCACTCGTTTTTACTTTCGATTTCTGGTCAATGATGATGGGAAAAATTAAATAAAACATTTGAATATAAACAAATGAGTATAAAGTGGGTTATGTTCTAGAAATAACCTACATTATGAAGTACAGTGAGCAGATATACACTCTAACTTTCAGTTTCTATTGAACAATTTTTTCATTTTTTCTCATAGATATTCAGTAAGCATGATTTTGTTTACTTCATACAATAAATAGTAGCAAATGAATGGTGACATATCAAACACATAACACAGATGTAAACCATCCTTTATGTAACGTAAAACCTCATGCGCAGAGGACTATCTCATGATTGCTTCAGAGTAGGAATGGGAATTTTGAAATTAGTGCAGAAAAGGTTAATAAAACACACCCATTCATTGTTTTTTGCACATGCAAAGTGCGCTAATTAGGTCAAATACAGTATAAGTTTTCATAAAGATTCTGAAGCATTAAAAATATTTAACGTACATGTATTTAGATCATCCCCTTTTCAGCTTTTAATGAACGTTGTTACTAGTAATTCAGCAGGGGTCAAATGTGAATTTTGACCTTGTAACCATGACTACCACCAAATTCTCATGATCTAAATCTAGTGAGAGATTCATACTGTGACCTTTGTCCTTGACTACTGACCAACAAAATGTTATCAATGGAGGAATTCAAGAACTTGATTTTGTGTAGTTTTTCATCTGGCATAAAAAGAATGTATTCATACATAGGGCTTGGTAGTTACTATATCAGAGAAGGAATTTTGAAGATCAGAAAAAATAAAACCAGAACAATCTGCTGATCTGAAGAATTATTAAAACCTGATAAAGATCAACACCACAAAACTCACTTGTGATGAGTGAGGAGGAGTTGAAAACCCAGGGCAACCAGCATACAGAAGCCCATACTAGGAGTGTAGAGGATACGCTCAGCCACCACAAATCCAACCGGAAAAAACAAGTTGGATGCAGGAATAAACGGGAGCACCATCATAGTCAGCGCCTGGGAAACACAAAATCACAAATCAAAAATAAAACATCTGACATTCATAATATATAGATTTAATATGAACTCCAGTTTTTTTCCTGCAGGACATACATAATATGATAAATGATGATTCTTCAGTTCTACCTCACAGACTTCTAAGTTGATGATAACTCCCTACAAGACAAACTTTACAGGACAATGGTTCTCTCTCTCAAAAACACACTTACCATAATTATAGCTCTGTTCCTCTTATCTTGGCTACTAAGCATGTAGGTAATAAACTTGACCATACAGGTGTAAAACGCCAAAGTAGTAACATTTCTCACATCCAGCAAGGATTTCACCAGGGGTATAGTTCCCATTGTCCAATCACAGCAAAGACCAGAAGGACACAGGAGGAGCCATATGTTGACTGGCAGGAGGTAGTTAAATGTTAGGTGTCGGGCAGGGAAGGCAGCTTGAGAGGCAGGGTTATCAAAACTATAAAGTGAAATAGTGACATCTCAAAACTAATCATCACACAAAACTGCAGTAATAACTTACCAACTGTCTTAGTACTTGCTATGAACTAATATGAAACATAAAAAGTACAAAACCTGGAAAGTTGATAAAATGTTGTAGATAATGATAACCATTGCAGATATGCAACTTTACTATACATCAGTGCAACATCTACATAATTATCTTTGTATGCCTTAATTTCTTTCCTATCAGGAATATGGAAAAATCAACTGGTTCAATGACTGACTTCAAAATTTATATCTACTTCTATTTATTCATTTCTATGGGATAACACTGGAATAGAGGTCATTTTCATCAGACACTTACTTTGTGAAGACTGGGAGCTGAGCTCCCATCACTTTGATTCTGGCAAAGAGAAGGAAGAGTGTGGTACCCACGAGGAAACCAGCTCGTATGATAGAGTTTTTCAGCCAGGGAGGGATGGATGGCTTTCCCTTCACAAAGCTTCCCAATATTGTCAACAACTCTACAAATGTGGCCTACAACATATAGGTCGCTCAGTATAAATGGTCTCCCTTTACAACACACTGGCAGTAAAGATAATCTCCCTTTATAGAAAAATTGTAAACATGGCTGACAAGACTGAGTCAACCATAAGTATGTAGGAGGGATAGTGGGAATTCTAAATCCGATGGTAGAATATCCATTATCCAATATGCCTACATAGAGTTGACTATTTTCTAACACAAATATTAGGTAAACATCATATTGATCAAGCACATTATCAATCACATACATATAAATTAAGTCATATTTCGGAAGATCACAAAAAAGTCTGGTATATCTTATGTATACTTCAAATTTAAAGAACACTGCAGTCTCTTCATAACAAAGCTTGCTTCCTAGTTTATTTAGATTTAGCTGCTGATGGCAAAATCACTATGATCAGACAAGCAATGCTTTTGATTGTGATGCCTTATTGTGTTACTATGAAGATAAACACCGTCTCAAATAGTGAAGGTCACTTAGTGCATCCATCTGGGATGGAGTTTTCTCTTAACTGGGACTTACTTACAGTAATGGTAATGCACAACGTACATTTTGTGTGGTTTGGTAAAAATGGTTTGCTAATATTACGGATTGAAAATTAAATGGAAAATTCCTGAAGTTATTCAAAAGAACATTCGGCCATTTTGTTTTTCTGATCAGACCCAGACTAGGGACCAAAGGGAAGCTAAATATGAAATTTAAGAAAGATCCATCAAGTAGTTCCCAAGAAATAGCAACCACAAATTTCCAAAGTCAAAATTAAAGATGGCCACGTGTTGGCCATTTTGTTTTTATGACCAGTCCCAAAATTTGACGAGCACAATAAGGTACTAAAAGGAACTTATAACATGAAATTTGAGACAGATCCATCAAGTTCTTCTCAAGAAATGGGACAACAAAAATTGTTCATGCACAGACCACAACAATGCATGCAGGGTGATTTAAACACCAGCCGATGATGGTGGGCTAAAAATAAATAAACCAACATTATTTATAAGTCATTTCTAAAATTACATCAACTATGATAGAATTGCACATTTGTACGATAGAACCACACAAGGTACGCACAAATGTGCAATAGCTTATTTTGGTCCAATTTTCCTATCGTGTAACGTTGTGCAGCCCCACAGCTGTACAGATGTGAGATTTCTTTGCCTCATCCTTTGGTATGACGTCACAGTAACTATTCACTGACGGGATGTCAACAATTAAATACTTGGTAACCCTTTTGTATCAATGATGTAAAATCAACAATACAAAGTAACAGGACAACAGAAACACATAACCTAACAAAAGCAGCAGAGTAAGACAAAATAATCATTCACTATTAATTTCAACCCTTCAGAAAAGATTATAAAGTTGTCAACACTCAGCAAACCAAATCTTTGCCATCCTAATAATCTTTCCGTTCAGGATAAGACACCCCAGTCTCATCTTCAAGGAGGTCAAAAACCATTAAGGTTGATCTGCGTTTACTTCAACTCCATACACATTGGCTGTAAAAAGTACTATCAATGTTTATCTCCCAATACAACATATCCATATAGATGATCTGTTATTGTAATCAATACTATCAAGACTATCTAGGTGTCACTGAAGCCTGTAAACTAACTCCAGCCTGTACAGTACTCACCCTCTGAGCTACAAACACCTCGTATACACAACATACGCCAATGACTGTGATGCCTTGTTCCTTACATAGCATGGCCACTGTGACAAGTATAACTGTCAATATCAGAGGTCTCCAACCTGTATAAAAAAAAAAACACCAAAATACACATAGCCGGGCAAAAAAGCTCATTCACTCACCATAACAAGTGGATTTTGCCAATGGATTAGTGATTTTTATTAGCAATTCGTCTGTCTAATAAGTATATTTTTTTTCATATGATCGATTCATGTACTAATCAAAACTGTTAAGCTATCAATTTTAAGTTAAATCTTCCTTATAAGAAACATTCTTTTGCAAAATCCTAAATGTGTGCCTCCTAGAGGGAAAAATGAACACTATACTAAACTAAAATCTTGTACAAAATGTGTGAAAGCTATATGTATTGATTTGAAAATATATAATAAATTTTCTGGACCAGCCAATTCCAAGCATAAAATTTCTGATTTTAGACCTGTATTTGGTAGGCCTTGACAATAACATCAGAGTCTGTTTGTTTGTTACCTATTTCAGATTGGTAGCTGGTAGACCATCAGAATGACATCAGAGTCTGTCTGTTTGTTACCTATATCAGATGTGTAGCTGGTAGACCATCAGAATGACATCAGAGTCTGTCTGTTTGTTACCTATTTCAGATGTGTAGCTGGTAGACCATCAGAATGACATAAGAGCTTGTTTGTTACCTATTTCAGATGTGTAGCTGGTAGACCATGAGTATAACATCTGAGTCTGTTTGTTTGTTACCTATTTCAGATGTGTAGCTGGTAGACCATCAGAATGACATCAGAGTTTGTTTGTTACCTATATCAGATGTGTAGCTGGTAGACCATGAGAATAATTTCTGAGTCTGTTTGTTTGTTACCTATTTCAGATGTGTAGCTGGTAGACCATCAGAATGACATCAGAGTTTGTTTGTTACCTATATCAGACCAGTATATGAGAGACCTTGGCAATGATATCAGAATCTGTTACCTATATCAGATCTGTATCCTGTAGACTTTGAGAATGACATCAGTGCCAATAAGAAGAAAATTGAGGAAAGGGCCTCTGCTCTCCCGACTACCCCAGTCACCTACAAAAACAATATTTAAATTACTACTTGTTATTGAATGTTTAACTTTCAAAAAATTAATTAAAGTGTGCATCCTAATGTAGCATAAAAAGATCCTATATCTTTATTACTGAGAGTCAGTACATAATATAGCATACTGTTGATATTATATATTTTAAGTTAATATCTGTAATCTTGTGACATTAGATGCAATTTCTTCATGAAAGTCACAATGGAAACTTACTGCTTCAACATGGATCGGATGAATAGCAAAGAGAAAGGCTGCCACAAAACTTGCCAGGTCTGGTAGGAACATACGACACATTCTACAAAGTGAAAAATATAGTATTAAACAATAAAAGATATTGATCAATACATGAAAGAAAACAGAAAATAATAAAAGAAAAAAAACGTAGTGAAATACCCAACAAGACAACAATTAGTTGTTTATATTGAAATTGGGAAAATGTTTCAATATTTGGCAATTACTGACACATGAATTAATTTTTGATATCAGCAACATCAATTACAACCTTACCAAAAAAGTACATACAAATTAAAGTCATATCACAAATCTAAGATTAAGAAATGAAATATCATAATGGTAATGGATAATATCAACTTGAATAACACATTCTTGTGTCTTGCTAAAATGTAAATAAATTTGTATTATGACACAGAAAAAAAACAACCCCATCTTTTGAGATATTATATAAACATTGATTACATCAAAAAAATTAAAAAAAAAAAAAACAAACTTCACAAGATTAAATGGAACACCGCACTTAACAACAAGAAGTCTACAATAATTCAGAGGATTTCACATACTCTGTAACAGAAGATGGCCAAGTAAGTTTACAAGATATTTTTGTTTACATTAACAAAACTCTAAATATCAGCCAACATAACATTAATGACCTGTACAGGTACAATATATGTCAATATGTGTGTAATATATCAAAATGTAAAAAATTGTTTACTTCATGAACAGAAGGCAGACTACAGCATGGAGGACGACATTGATAAGGTGATAACCCATGGTATCTAACTGGTGAAGGAAGTAGTTCAGACGAAAGGTCAGCACACATAAGGGCCGGTAGGACTTGTGACTCTTCTCCTACAATGATGCAACAAAAGAAAGTTACTTTACGAAAGTATAATTAGACAGGACATAATTTTTGTGATAAACTTAGATTTATTTTAGTACTTTCATTTCTGGATAATTTTCTTTTTTTGAAGGAATTTAACATCACTGCAACAGCCAGGATCATACGAGGATGGTTTTAAGATGGACAGCAAGGGTGGAAAATGAAGCAGAGAAAAAAAAGTGAAAGATAGAAAAGAAAGAAATAAATCAAGATCCCAAGTGTTGCAATGGAGACAACAGATTTATTTATTTTTTTTTTGGTCTTTTGAATGTCTGTGTATTAGTAAAAGCATAATTTCCATTCTGCAGGTGGTCAAATCTTAGTCGCCTCCAATGAAATGAAGTGGAATGCATCAGACCCTAATCTTGGGCTCTCCAATGTTACCTTAAATGGAAACATTGGAGTACACATGTCCATCTGCAAGAGGTGCCCCAAAATTAATTGTCTCTTATGACATGCAGTGAAATACAGCCAACGTGTTCATTCCTTGTAATCTGCACTGATCTCTCAAAACTGTTATGCTGAAGATCTAAAGTAATAGCAAGTATTCATTTATAGAGATTCTTTGATAAAACAGATTTATGAAATTAATTAACAATTAGAGACAATACTAGGTCCTTCATGTTATATACTGGTATGTATACTTTACCTTGTGCATGGGTGTACCCCAAAAGTCATTCCAGAAGAGTCGCTGTACTGGAACATGAGGTCGCAGGTCTTTATTATCGACAATGGCAGAGACATCATCAAACACAAAGCCTGCTTCAAGAGAGTTGTAATAGCATAATGCTACTGTCGCCACTACCACCAGCTGGTACATACTCAGCTGCTCCATTTTCCACATGAACCTTACAAATAAAATGTGATGAATGTATACATAATTTACATTATAAATATCCATAAACCCATTACAATAATTCAACATGTGAATGTGCTTATAATGTCTATAAACATACCTTTAAGGTCGATAAATGTGTCTGGAATGTCTGTAAATATATATAATATGTCTATAAATTTATCTGTAATCTTTCGATGTATTATGTCTATATTTTTTTTATAAATATATATGTAATGTCTGTAAATATATATGTAATGTCTGTACATGTATCTATGATGTCTATAAATGTATCCTTGGTGACGCTATGGTAGAATTATCTGAGCAATACAAAGGGATAATTGTACAACTAAAAATATAGTTGCAAACAGTCCTGTTCGAGTTAAGTGTTACAACAGGTAGGTTAAAAAATATGGGGAAATCTGTTTTGATCATTTTGATGGTTCTATGCTGTTTGGAGATATTATGGGTTGCATTAAAATGAGTTATAATAGAATTCTCCACAGCTAATTAATCTGCCAATCGACCTTTAGAGCTGAAATATAAAAACCGAAGCTTTTAATAGTTATATTGATATATACTTGAAAAAGCTAAACATTTAGATTTATTTTCCAATTTTGAAAAAAAAACAACTGAAAATTACATCCCTGTCGAGTGCTCCAACATGAATCCAATCCACGTCTCCAGCATGATAATCGATAGCTAAGACTGAACTATTCTGATGTTCTATCAACTTTTTTATAACAGTCTGGGTCAATGAACTCCGGGGCGATATGAAAAAGTCAATAGAACGTCAGAATCATTCAGACTATTGATGGCTCTACCAACTGTGGCAAAAAAGCATGCTCCGTCGGTTGAGTGATCTTCGCCATTTTTCTGTTTTCAAGAATTAAGTAGGCGTATGTTTACATATACAGTAGGGAACAGGGACTTATACATGTACAGTGTATATGCACAGACCACAGTCGGGCACGTTAAAATTCTGCAATTAGCTTGTTTGTTTAGTCTTAAACGTTCAGTTAACAGACAGGCGATTATTTGAGTTTCCATTATTTATCTACTAAAGCAATTAGACACGTCTATAACATTGGCTGTCATTAACCATGTTTACCTTGTTGTGCAGGCCGTTTTAACGTTTAAGCATCATGAAAATCCTGTTTTCCATCTCGACAGACCGGTCTAAATTGCAGTTTACATTTCTATCTCTCACGAAGGAGAGTTCCAAAAGGGTGACAGGCGAGCACACCCACTGCACTACATGTAACTTAATTATAGGCTAAAGAAACTGCGGCTTACCCATAGCTGTAAGATGTGATAATACAATTATATAAAGACAGGGTGTAGTGTAAGTCTGGAACAATGCCGACCTCATGACAGAAGATAACAAACTACAGTACAGCTACAATACATGTTCCTCCAGGTGCCGTTTCTCATGCCTCGTAAGGTATACTTGTTTAGTAGTAGTGAAGTCACACTGGCCACAGCAAAATGTATTTTGCGTCGCATGTTTCAATCAACAGAGCACAAGGTGTTCTTTTAGCTCTTCTGAGCCGTTCGTCCTAAACTTGCACATGGGACATACCTTTATAGGGGTTGTCTTCGTGTTAACAATGGTGTCTGTAAGTACCCAAACGACCTAGTTAGTCATCAATCATCTCGCATCTGATATATACAGCACAATGTTAAGGTGACAAATTGACGCGCGGAATAAAGCTGATTTAACGCGTAGCTAATACAACATATAGTCGGAGTGTTTGGCAGGTGATTTCCTAGACCTATGACTCTGTCTAAATGTAGGTTCTGTATTGTTCACACCCATGCTTTGCTTCTTTCTCTCAGAATTTCTCTCTGTTCTTTCACCCAGAGACGTATATAACACATGTGTTATATACGTCTCTGTTTCACCCAAGAGTACACCCTTATCACATCAGTCGTTGTTTTCATCATCACTTTCTCTTTCAACGTTAAAACAACTGTCATCTACCCGGGTTTGTTGCTCTTTTGCCTTAGCCAAATCCTCTGCCTTTTCGCTTTTAAGTATTTGAGACTTCCGTAGCTTAATGCGGTCTGCATGTATGACCTGTAGTTTCCTTTGTTCCCACAACGTACTTTACATGTGACCTCAGAGAGTTTCGACACCACACGGAATGGACCCTTCCAGCGACAGGCTAGCTTTGGGCTTTGTCCTGGCTTTACCTTGGGTAAGAAGACAAACACATCATCACCAGCCTGAAATGAATGCCATGATAACTTCTGGTCATGAAGTTTCTTCTGCCTCAGCATTTGGCCCCTAACATGATCTCTGACCAACTGGTGTGCATCTTCCATCTTCTCTTGTAACTCCCAAGCCCACTGATTCTGTGGTATTGCCTTTAGGTTCCTCGGCATGGCATTTTGTATATCCAATGGAGTAGTTGTCTCTCGATCAAGCACCATAAAGTTTCAAGAACTGGAAGTTGTCTCGTGTTCGGCTGACCGATATGCCATCATGACACATGGAAAGTGTCTGTCCCAGCCAGTGTGTCGGTCATTCACAAAGGCCCGTAGCATTGTAACTAACCTTTTGTTAAATCTCTCGACCATCCCATCTGATTTAGGATGGTAGGGAGTGGTTTGGGTCTTCTGAATCTGCAAAAGGCGTAACATTTCCTGAAACAAGGCACTCTCGAACCGAGAACCTTGGTCCGAGTGAATGATACTTGGGACTCCATATTTGCATACAACTTCTACAAGTATGCCTGCCAATGTCTCTGCACTCATATTTCTCATTGGAAAACATTCCGTCCACTTGGTGTAATAGTCTGAGATGACTAATATGTGACGGTTGCCATCATCTGTTTCAGGTAACTCGCACTGGATATCGACTGCAACGCGCTCCATCGAATATTTAAACTCGGCGACTTGCATTGGTGCTCTTTTTGTCTTGTTGACATTTTTGCTCTTGGCACACAATGTACAACCGGTTACATACCGCTTAACGTCACATTGAACCCCAGGCCAATAATACTGTCGTCGGACTTTGGCCAAAGTTTTTCTAAGATCTAGATGAGTAGCAGTCTTGTTGTTAGGGGCATGACCTAAAATTATTCTCCGCTCATTTCTTGGGACTATGATGTGTGTCTCTCCTTTCGCATGTCTTCTCACCAGCAGATTTTCTTCTATCGTCAGTGTCTCAAACTGTGACCACATATTTTTCACTGTCTTGTTTCTATTACCTATGGACTTGTAGTCAGGCCTCTTCCCTTGCTTGACCCAGTCAATAACTGGACTCAAGTCGTCATCCTCCTTTTGCTTTTGTCTCAAAGTGTTTCCTCTTTTTCGTCATTAGACCTTCCAGTTTTCAGACTTCTCACGAGCTCTGTGGTAGTTTCAGCTACTTGGTCGTCTGTTTTCTTCTCCCAGTCGGAATCAAAGTTGCACTGTCGACAAGGGATATGACTAAGCCCATCAGCGTTCTGATGCTGCATCCCTGGTCGATGGACAATGTGCAAATCATATGTGCTCAGCACCTGGAGCCATCTCGCCATTTGACCCTCTGGATCCTTAAAGTTCAACAGCCATCTGAGGGTGTTGTGATCTGTCCTGACTGTGAGACTTCTTCCATATAGGTAATGTCGGAAGTATTTTGTAAAGTGCACTACCGCCAGCAACTCTTTACGGGTTACACAATACTTCCTCTCAGCCTTTGTCAAAGTCCTAATTGCAAATGATATTGGTCTTTCCCTGCCGCCGACTTCCTTTGACAGCACTGCTCCAATAGCTTCATGACTGGCATCTGCGTCGAATATGAACTCTTTGGCGAAGTCAGGGTGGGCCAATGTTTCGGTGCTAGTCAATTCTTTCTTTAGAGTCTCAAAAGCGTCTTGGCATTGCTCTGACCAGTTTCGTCCCTACTCTGTCAGTTTGTGTAGGCACTTCGCTACTACAGAGAGGTTTCAGTCAAACCTTCTATAATAACTACAGAACCCGAGGAACGACCGCAGTCGTTTAACATTTACTGGTACTGGCCACTCAGCTACTTTCCTCACCTTGTTTTTTTCTGTAGAGTTTCCCTGTTCTGAAATCTTGTGCTCAAGGTAGATAACCTCTTTAGCAAACAGACAACACTTCCGAGCCCTAAGCTCTAACCCAGCTTCTTGCAAATGATCGAAGACTTGCTCTAGATTCTGTACCATGCCTCCAAATGTTTTACCAGTTACAATTATATCGTCCAGATATATGAAGCATATCTGCCACTGCAAACCCGCGAGGACTGTCTCCATCAATCTCTCGAATGTTGCGGACCTGATGCTAGGCCAAAGGGCATTACTGTAAACTCATATAGCCCAGTCCTTGTCGCAAACACAGTCTTCTGTCGATCTTCAGGCGCCAATTCAACCTGCCAATAACCTGAGTTCAGGTCCAAAGTTGAAAACCATGCGCATCCTGACATCTGATCCAGAGCCTCATCAATGCGAGGTAATGGATACGGATCTGTGATGCTAACTGCGTTTAATCATCTGTAATCAACACAGAACCGTAAGCTCCCGAACTTTTTCTTGACCAGGACGATCCCTGAGCTCCAAGGACTTGATGATTTCTGTATGATTCCCCAGTCCAGTATGTCAACTTCCGGTCCAAGGTTTCCTGGTACCCTTCGTAAAGGCTGTTTGATGGAATGGCGTCGCCAGTGTTAATCTTATGTTGAATGGCATCTGTTCTACCAAAGTCTTCATTTGTTGCTGCAAACAAACTTTGGTGTCTTGTCAGCAGCTCATGGGCAGTGTTGTACTGGGCAGTAGTAAGATTCTGCTTGGAGCCCTCTAACAAAGCCTGTAAGTCTTTTCGAAGTTTCACTTTTGTATTTAGTGCTCGTGTATTTACTGCCTCTAACACACTATTAACGGTGCTGACCTGCGCAATTGTCGTCCCGGGGTAGAGCTGTTGGTTCTCACTGCTAGGATTCATCAATCTTACAGGTACCATGATGTCATACTGAACTAGTGCCCTAGTCACTAGTGCTCTCTCAGTTTTAAGTAAAGTATCTGGTTTCTCGACCAGAAGTGTTTTGCTAGCGACTGTTTCCCCTTTCTGGTAAACATATATTCCCTTGCACTACAATTTCACTATTTGCGGGTATGGTTACTTTGTCAACGACCGAGAGACGGTAACATCCCATAGCACCTTCATATTTGGTTGGAATTGTGACACCATCAAGTGTCAGAACGGTTTTTTCGAAGCTAAGACACTCGTTCTTCTCTTTCATTATGTCCGACCCTAGTATACCATCAGTATTTATTCTGGCAACAACAGCTTCCACACATATTTGTTTAGACTGGTTTAGCTTAATGACAAAACTTCCTCGGCCCCTTATTTGTAATTTTTCACCAATAGCAGTAAAGATATCCTGATGAACTTTACACAAGCGAGGCTTCGATTCGGGAATATTATCAAATATTCTCTCTGACACAATGGTCACTGTCGCTTTAGTGCCATGAACCTCTGTTGTTATGTACATGCCTGCTTCCTGCACAGCTGTAGATAACCCTATGCCAGCTTTAGACTTCTGGGCACCTTTCTTTTTGTTTTCTGACCCAGCCAGTTTAGGACAATTTCTGCGAAAGTGTCCCTCCTCTCCTCAGTAGTAACGATTCTTTTTCTTTATACTGGAAGGCTGTTGTCCCTGTTTCTTCACAGACTTTAGTCTGTTTATTTCTTTGTCTAATGTTTCCAACTTCTTCTGCCTGTCCTTTAGAAGCTTAAACGTTTCTGGCTCTGACCCCTCTGATGTTCCGGTACTGGTCGTCCTGAGGTATGAGATGGCCTCTGACTTTTTCTCACAGCGATTGTAGGCCTCTAATTCGACTGCTAACTGTATTGCATCAGTCAAGTTCTTAGGCCTGGTCAGCTTAATTCGTATTCGCATCTCTGAGTCTGCTAGCGCTTCAATGAATTGTTGCTTGGCTAAAGTTTCCCTGACTTCATTTGGCACCGATCGATATGCCAAGTTCACTAGCCGTCTGATTGCTTGTCCGAGCTTGCGTAAACTTTCTGAGACCTTTTGTCGTCTTTCCATCACTTGAACTCAGTAGAGTTCTGTCTGGTTTGGCGGTGCAAAGACTCGTGATCTTGCTGTTTAGAGATATCGAGGTCGCCCAGTATCCCTTGAACTTGTCCCCTTAACGACACCGCTAGGTGAAGTCCTTTCTCCTCTTTGGACCATCGGTTAATTCTAGAGCAAGCCTCAAAGTGTGAGTTGAAGTCAAGCCATGGCGATGTACCATCTTATGTTGCCGTTTTACGGTAACTTTCCTCAATCTATGATCCCTATATCTACTGCTGACTTCATCATCTGTGTCCTCGGCACGTTTAATATCAGTAGCCCTACTTGGCTTGTGTCTTCTGGTGGTCACAGAGTCATATTTGTGACTGTCAGTCTCTGGGACTTCGTCATTAACCTTACGGCTGCTCGCCGGTTTTCTAAGTTTTGTACTCCTCAATAGATTTTGACCACCAGCTTGTAGCCGGAACATTTGTTCACCTATTTCTCTCTCAAACATCTGAATGCTCTCATTCTGCAGCATTTGACTATGGTTTGGAGAAAGCTTCGTCATAGGGACTTTGTATCTGTCCGCTGTCCCTAACTCAGAGTCTTAGCCACTGTTGGGAGGTTTTGGCCATGGTATATTGTGCTGTGTTACTGGCGTTGAGAAATCAAAATGTACATGAGCTGTATTATCGTATTCAAGATCTGATTCTTGTCCTAGCTCGTCGTCAAACCGGTTAATAGCATTGTCTTCTGTCATTAGTGTTATATAACAGTGCAAGGGAAATAACTCTTTTTTACAGAATTGAATATGCATTTGTAGGCCAATAAAATATCATTAACTAATACCCAGGATCCCACCGCTGCCACCAGTTTATGTGACGTTTCTTTCTGGATCCGTCACTCTCGTAGAGAGCAATCCCGGTAAACGTATTTGTCGGATATCTACCATAGCCTACAAATGCCAATATGTACATATATACTCTATACGTTATTATTTGGTAGCGTTTGTAACATCATTTTTACATAGACTTTATTGAAACAACAAACTGACTTCAGACTGACGTTCTGCCTGACCGCTGACACCTAGTCACCAAATTCACAAATGCTACTTTATATATATTCACACACTTGTTCACACCCATGTATACACTGTCTGTGTATTGTCTACCCGAGAGTCGTGTTATTTGTCAACAACTTCGTTTAAATTAAAGTATTACTAATCACCAGTCAATAATTGTTGTCTCAACATTTGACTTGTCGCCGACCACAAGTCACTGGTCATACAGTTTCTTGACTCTCTACTGACCGCCGGTCTAGAGATGACAACCTGTAGGCCTAGTCGCGAACTCTTACACCTATGTGTGTCTATCAACATAGACTGCCAAACTCTCTGTGTTCTAAGTGCTGTTGTTGGATCAAGGAGAAGACCGTAGTCACACCTGTCTTTCCACAGCTTCCTACTGCTCACAGGAAGCTACAGGTAGGTTCTTCTTGGAGATGTTACCGTCCCGACAGTTGAGAATGAAGTGATCTTTCGCTCTGTCCGGCTCTCCTTTTATACTCTCCCGCTCGAGTACTCATGATCTGCGCTTGCATTCTATATGTTTTATTTCAAGCGTGTACGTGAATAATAAAAACCCGGAAGTTATGGGTAACCATGAACAACGATGCTAGACAAACGGTATGTCTTGACTTGTATTTCCCATGCCTACTGCAGATATTTACTACAATATAGTTACTGAAATATGTAAATCCTATATTGCTGCATTGTTGTCTGGACAGAAATAAGAACGTAGTTGAACTTTGTATAAATTTTGTATAAGATAATTATACTTATAATTGGGCGGCAGGGGTGGGGTCACAGAAGAGAAATAGATTACATTATTTAAAACCCTACTTCTGTATGGATGACTGAATTTTACTCAATTTAGTCTGAAACATCCGTGGGTGAAGAGGGAATCAATTTTGCATTAGCAGTGGTTCTCGGACATCTAGGACAGAAAATACGGAGCCCAATAGAGCAAATTGAGCAAATTCTGTAATTCTGTAAAAATCCTACATTTCCTGTAGGAATGATTGGATTTTGTCCAAATTTGGTCAGAGGCTTCCTTGGGTGAAGAGAAATCAGTCAGACCGCGGGTCTCGACCTACTGAAACAGGAGGACGTGGACCATGTACATGCATGGGTAAACAAATTAATTTAATTCCTTCTTCTTTATGAATTTGAGGCTTTTGTCTAAATTTGGTCTGATACATCATCAAGGGGTAAATGAAGGGGAATTAATTCTGTATGAACTATGAACTCTAGATCTCGGGTTAGAAGCAACCATAGGCGAAGGAAACTTAATTGTGTATAAACGATGCGTATGATTCCCATGGGGAAATAGATATATAATCTTGGGGTTCTTTATAGCAGTAGTTTATTATGTTAGGATATGAAGTATAGTGTTCGTTATAGTAGTACTTTATTTCATCAGGATATGAAGAATTAGGTATTTATTTATTTATTTATTTATCTATTCATTTATCTATATATTTATAGTTGTCTTGTTTTTCTAGGACTCGCCAGTGATGCTTAGGGCCCACAATGTTGTAACCTTTAACGAATTAGGAAGGTCATAATTTGTCGAGTTAAATGACCAAGACCAGATGGAAATGTGTACTTTTCCCATAATTCAATAAATTTCATTAATTTCATCAATTTCATTATTGCATGGTTTTGGATCAAAACGTGGCTATTAGTTGCTCGGTTCTAAGTTATCTATAGCTCACCAGTTAACCTTAGCATTAGCAATGTTGAAGTCGCCAAGGTCCACTATTTTTCCTGTTGCTGTTTGATAGAGACACGTATTTACCGCTAAGTTCTTCATGAGCCCATCATTATATAGTTCGAGTTATTTCCCCTAGTCTCAAAAAGCTCTTTAATCGGAGCATATTCGGTTATCACATTTTAAAAAAAACAGTCATACGCTAATTAACAAATTTGTCAAAGTGAGGAATGCAATTTCAGCTTAATAGACACTAGGAAGTAATTTTTGGTTCTGAAGAATTCACGGCACTATATATAATGACAATAAAAACAGAAATTCAATTAAAACCAAATCTTGCTCTGATCTTCTTCATAACTTTACAACAAAGGTGTACCCCATAATTTAGAGTTTTGTTAAACGTTTGGCGCCGAAGATTAAGGTTTTTCTACACCGTCCCACACTAACTGAGCCAATTAGAATTACCGTTGCCATGACGTGTCCAACATAATATTGGATCACGGCGCACCTATACATCACACAATAGGTCGAGACAGGGTTTATTAGTCAGTTCCTCTTAGATATTATTCGGCATCATTGCCCGACGGGTAATACGGTGGGTATTACGGTGTCCATTGTGGTCAGTGTCCTGAGCGGTCTACGTGTATATATGTCTTTGATAGATTTAACAGTTGTTTGACAATAGGATCATATATTTACTTGCAAAGCAAACAAGAATGTGACCGCAGTAGAGTAAACAACAATGGAACATGCGTGTAAGTGGAGTTCCCAATAGAAACTGGAGACACCGTCACTGGTAGGAGGGACCGTGGGAGCTAGAGCCGTACCACCCCTCCCCTCACACAGAGCAGGCAGCCCGTGTATAATCTGGCGCGCTCTCGACCCGTAGTAAAGCTGTAGTAAGCGTTCGGTGTATCTGATGCTGACGGTCTCGGTCCTACAGTCACTTAGGAAGTAGACTTGCATCACTATGGTGTTGTAACGTTACCCGCGATGTCCGATATATTTGTATTTTGTGTACCCCTTTGGATTCTATGGATGTTACAATGTGTTCACGGACAGTCTATTGAAAGTATTTGCAAGGAATCATGTAAGGCGAACCTGGTAAGTTGACGTTTTGCTATTTCTATTGTTTTAAACTTTAAAATAAACACATGGCCTTTCCAAATTTGAGAGTCGGTATCATTGGTAGTCGGTCGTGTAATGTCGATTAGGCTACTTTACTTGGAAGCATCACAGCACATGGAAATTAGGGCCAAGCAACAGTGATTTGTTGCTATTTTGAATCATTTACAATGATTTCACTCGGTAGATGGGGCTTTCCTAACAGCTTGCAGGGGACGTCAAGTGTATACGTGGTACAGATAATTTTGGTTACTTATTCCTCTGTTGACACCAGCCAAACTCAAGTAATTTCGTTTATCATGTCCTCAGAAAAAATGAATTCATTGTATGATTTAATTAGATATGGTAAGTCTATATACAAGGCATAGACAATCCCAAATGTGTGATAAATCACTCCGGATTCTCAGCCAATGTAAAACCAATAATGTTCGCCATCCCCAATATCAGAGTTAATTTGGCGTGACTTACGATGACCAGTAGTGGACATCCCCACGATGACACGAGCTCGTTAGAACCCACGTCGAATGACCAGTGGGGTACCAATTGGATCCTTGCGAATAGGGAGCGGTCAAGTGATGATCAGAACGATAATGAATAGTGGTGATCCTGTGCCGATTACAAATATATTTGACATTTACACATAATAAAGCACTGACAGTGCGCCATTGTCCTAGGAAGAAAATGATTTTACTTTGTCAAGCAATGGTTGAACTAAAATGTGATCATTCAACGCGACAACAGAACACACAAATTACACGGTAGCGGCGTGCGTTCTATTACACAACTGTGCGTGCGTCGTTCCAGAGACATGCATGTACACATATATTGAGTCTTTTCAATCCCCCTCTTCACAGAGGACACACATCCATGCACATATATTTCACATGCGTTTCTTTTTTACCCCCTTCTGTTCCCCTATTTTAAAAAGATAATGGGTTTCTCCAGCCCCGATATCTATGACCCCCTAAACCCGACCGGTGGCAGGTGGTATCATATTCCTACAAGTTGTACACCTCGGAGAAGGGAGGGGGTATACTGAGGGAGGCAAGCCAGGCGACAGAGAGCTGTGTCAATGATCCCGGATCAGATAATCATGACCAGATTTTTCACCGCTTTACTTGCATTACCCCCTCCTTACAACACTCTCTTCCTCCTAGAAGAGGGGCGTCTCCCGGCACCCACTGTTTGCGATCCCATCTTCAAAGAAAACTTTTACTTTATTATAACCAAATTTGATGACAAGAGTCCTTAATATTTATTTTGATTAAAACTCCAATTTAACGGGGTTATTTTAAAATAGAAACATAAAGGAAACATAACTTTCACCAAAAACATTAAGTTTTTTCCATGATACTCACCAGTAACGGTTGTTAATATTACATTAAGAACTAATAGTTTTAGACAATTTAGTGAGGACTTGAGTATTTTGAGCTATTCAATTCTTTGAATTATTCAAGGAATTGTATAAATATCGAAACATGAATGTCAAACATAGAAAACCAGCTATTATTTTAAATTAGAAGTTTTAACGTTCTGTCTACGATAAATTTGTATGATACAATATCTATACATCATTTACATTCATAAGTTACATATAGTTGTCTTTTACCATAACATAGATTTTGGTGTAATTTACAACCAATTCGTTTTAATTTCACGGTTTGATTAAGGTAATTTAAAATAATAATAAAAATAAAAATAGTCCCTCTGTTCGTAAATTTCGAAGGAATGATATAATGTTAAAGGTAATTCAGGTCAAGTGGGACTTGGTTTGAAGTGGTGAGTCTACTAATTAACTTTAAAAAAACGAACAAACATACAGCTAAGTTTAAAACCATATAATGCTTTAGTTCAACTATCATTTTTTGAACATTCGATATGCTGACCGCTTCACAAGAATTAACCTTTCCATCTGCGAAAATATGTTCAACGAAACCTCATTCCTAAGTTTTCTCAGTGGATACAAAAAAAAGTAAAAAAGAAACAAATAAAATAAGTAGGCACGCGGAAGTTTCACTCGTTAAGAGTGGTACATTGATAAATTTACAGAAATAAGTAGGCACGCGGAAGGTTCCCTAGTTAAGAGTGGTACATTGATAAATCTACAGAAATAAGTAGGCACACGGAAGTTCCACTCGTTAAGAGTGGTACATTGATAAATTTACAGAAATAAGTAGGCACACGGAAGTTTCACTCGTTAAGAGTGGAACATTGATAAATCTACAGAAATAAGTAGGCACACGGAAGGTTCCTTGTTAAGAGTGGTACATTGATAAATCTACAGAAATAAGTAGGCACGCGGAAGGTTCCCTAGTTAAGAGTGGTACATTGATAAATTTACAGAAATAAGTAGGCACGCGGAAGTTTCACTCGTTAAGAGTGGTACATTGATAAATCTACAGAAATAAGTAGGCACGCGGAAGTTTCACTCGTTAAGAGTGGTACATTGATAAATCTACAGAAATAAGTAGGCACACGGAAGGTTCCTTGTTAAGAGTGGTACATTGATAAATTTACAGAAATAAGTAGGCACACGGAAGGTTCCCTAGTTAAGAGTGGTACATTGATAAATCTACAGAAATAAGTAGGCACGCGGAAGGTTCCCTCGTTAACGGTGGTACATTGATAAATTTACAGAAATAAGTAGGCACGCGGAAGGTTCTAAATCAAAAGTAGTACACAAAAGGAATTTTCCTATTTGATGTGACATGCACTCACAGAAGTCTCCATACATAGGTAAATGTGTTTATATAAGTATATACACGCATTATGTAAAAAATAAACACGATACAGGATATAGAGACAACCATGTAGAAATAAAACTTGTAAATAAACACAGAAATGAATCGTTTAGAAATACTGAGAGTGTGGTTCCTTTTGTATGGGAATACAGGCAGTAGAGTTTCTGATGGAAGTAGTGATAGTATAATTTCTGATAGAAACAGAGACAGTATAATTTCTGATAGAAACAGAGACAGTATAATTTCTGATAGAAACAGAGACAGTATAATTTCTTATAGAAATAGAGACAGTATAATTTCTGATAGAAACAGAAACAGTATAATTTCATATAGAAACAACGACAGTATAATTTCTTATAGAAATAGAGACAGTATTATTTCTGATAGAAACAGAGACAGTATAATTTCTGATAGAAACAGAGACAGTATAATTTCTTGTGGAAATAGAGACAGTATAATTCTGATAGAAACAACGACAGTATAATTTCTTATAGAAATAGAGACAGTATAATTTCTTGTGGAAATAGAGACAGTATAATTCTGATAGAAACAACGACAGTATAATTTCTGATAGAAATAGAGACAGTATAATTTCTGATAGAAACAACGACAGTATAATTTCTGATAGAAACAACGACAGTATAATTTCTTATAGAAACAGAAACAGTATAATTTCTTATAGAAACAGAGACAGTATAATTTCTTATAGAAACAGAGACAGTATAATTTCTGATAGAAACAGAGACAGTATAATTTCTTGTGGAAATAGAGACAGTATAATTTCTTATAGAAACAACGACAGTATAATTTCATATAGAGACAGTATAATTTCTTATAGAAATAGAGACATTATACTTTCTTTTCTTGAACAGGCAGTAGTTTCTTATAAAGACATACAGTAAGGATACTTTTATTCATTGAATATAGACAGTATAATTTCAAAGTAATTTTATTGGCCCTCCGTTTTGGTTGTGCATCTGGTACTCCGCCGAGCTTGGTTTTAGTTCTGTTTTGAGTTTCATTAAAACGAATATGCTTTAAAAAATAGACCGCACAAAATTTAACTCGTTATCTATAAATAATGATCATTGATTTTGAAATGTCACAAGAACCGAAGCAGATTATTCGAAAATGTATAATACTCGGAATAAAAGCCATCTAATAGATGTTTCCAATTCCTTATATCAGTTCTTCAGTAATTTCAAAGACCTTCTCAACCAATGTTTGTTCCTTAGTGTCGACTGTCGCCATGGAGCTGGCTTAATATCTCAAATTGTTTTACCCATAACGCCTCAAAGCAATTACAAAACACTGCGACACTTTACCGCCGGGAATTACATCTGTAAAATAAAGAACTGTCCTATTGGACATAAACTTCCAGTTACTGGGGAGTGGGTATTGCGAAGCGAAGAAGGGATGAAGCATTAGATGGACCTGGAAAGAGCTACTTTGATGATGATCGAGTCTGGTCAAAAACGATAAAAATTACTCCTACTTTTTTCATAACTTTTCAAGATAATAATAATTCAGTGTATACAAAAAACAAAAGTCTTGTTCTTAGTTATTCGTCCACGTTCTACTCAGGCTGCAAATCATGATACGATCAAATTAAGTAAGGGAAAGTATATTGGAAATGTTTTTATATTGCAAGACTTGCGACATTCAAAGGGATATTGCGATGTCACAATCTATATTGTATTTTGGTATACTGAAATTATTTTTGAAACAAGCGTTTATATGAGGGAGCAGTAGATTATTAAATGTGTGATGTATTAAAAACTATATAATTTTGAACTTTGCAATACCGTACAAGTTTTAATTAAGAACACACGAAGGATGTTGAATTTGGGTTTCTATAAAAATATAAAGTTATCATATGTTGAAAGGTCTGCGGTTAAATAATTGTAAGTGTTAAAGCAGGTTGTTGCAGTATATTGCAATACTGAACATTTAATTGTAGTAAATTTTCACTAGATAGATACAGCCATATATTGACTATTGGGATATTATTGCCCATCCCTAAAATTACCCGAAAGCTAGGAACAACAGAGATGACAAAATTATAGAAAACTAGATACAAAACCACACATCACTACAGAAAACTAGGGACCAAAACAGACACCACCACAGAAAAATAGGGACAAAATCAGACACCACCACAGAAAACTATAGGGACAAAATCAGACACCACCACAGAAAACTATAGGGACAAAATCAGACACCACCACAGAAAACTAT